TAAATCCACAAGAGAATGATGTTTCCTGGCAACTTTCTGCTAAAAAAAACTTGACCGCTATGCAGATTTTAATATAAGAATAATCATTTTCCTTGAAGAGATTTTTAAATGTTTGATCTTTCTTGAATTCGGCTACTCATTATTTGGAAATAATGGCCTGGAGCATTTAAGAAGTTAGTCTCCAGCGGGACCCCCAGAGACGGCTGGTGCTGCCAGAGATTTCCATTCGCCGCTGGGTCTTGAACTTGGGCACCTGTGCAGAACCTGGAACGTTCTCTATCCAGGAGCCTTCACCTGTGTGTCAACTTCCATATTCGTTTCAGAAACACGTTACTCACGTCTCCACGAGGCGGTCAGGAAGTCACTTGCGAGAGAGTCGCTAACTGCCGCTCCCGCCGCCGGGGTCTCCCCAAGCCCAGACCCCCTCCCCCCCCCCCCCCCCCCACTCAGACAGGCACCAGCAGCCCTGTTTGGGGGCCATCAAGTCTGGAGGCAACACTGATAAAAGAGCTGCTTTTACTCCCTGCACGGACCAGCCCTCTTAGCTCTGCTCACAGATCAGACAGTCCTGCCTGTTCTCCATTATCTCTGTATTTCCATTTCACCCGTGAAGAATGCAAGTTCGAGGAAGAGCAGCCAAGACTGGATCAGCCCTGGCTGGAGCGCTGGCCTGTGAACCAAGAGGTCGCTGGTTCAATTCCCGGTCAGGGCACATGCCTGGGTTGTGGGCCAGGTCCCCAGCTGGGGGTAGAGGAGAGGCAACCAATCAATGAATCGATGTTTCTATCTCCCTCTCCACTCTCTCTACAATGAACAAATAAAATCTCTTAAAAAATAGAAATTACTTTATAAAATACATATATGCAAGTGATTTTTTAAAAAAAGACTGGATCAGCCTCCAGCCACCAAAGAGTACACACCTTCCCTATTTCATCCACATCTGTCTCCAGTACAACAGGTTCTGTGTACGAAAGCTGCCTGGCCGCCACGCTGCAGCCAGCCGACCAAGGTCGATGTCACGGTGATCAGTCTTGTGGACAGCGTGTCCCCTGACAGGATGTGACAAGAGGACCCTTCCGTCCGGGGTCCCCAAGCCCTTAGCTCCACAAACGTTCTCCCGTTTCCAGGGGAAAACTACCAGACGGATTGCAGTGGAGGGGCGGGGCTCCACAGAACCCCGCCCACCCTCCCCGCGGCTGCACAGCAGCCAAGGTCATCCAAACTCGAACAGCTGAGAAACGCCCACCGCCTGGGAGCCAAGAAGGCGTGACACTCAGTGTCGTGGGAGGTCTGGTATCAGAAAAGGACACTAGGCACGAACTGAGGAAATCGGAGACGTCAGTTAATAATGAAGCGATGAAGCGGCAACACTGCTTCATTAATTGTAACAAACGCACCCAGACCAGTGGATGTTACTAACCCGGCAACGGGATGGCGGGTATGTGCGGACTCTGCACTGTTTTCAATTTTTTTCTGTAAATTTAGAACTAGGAGATGAGTTTATTTTTACTTTTTAAAAAGATATCATTTACTTATCTTTTTAGAGGGAAAGGGAAGGAGAGAGGGAGAGAAATAGCAATGTGTGGTTGCCTTTCGTGTGTCCCCTGCTGGGAACTGGCCTGCAACCCAGGCATGTGCCCTGACTGGGAATCGAACCGTGATCCTCTGGGTTGAAGGCCCGTGCTCAATCCACTGAGCTACACCAGCCAGGGTGGGAAGTCTATTTTAAAAATGGTATCATCATTGATTTTTAAAGAACGGTTGCATTTTTCTACCTTTAGAGAGAAATAACAATGTTTGGAGTGTTCAAAGCCCGCCCCCCGACCCCCAGGAAGTCCAGGAAGTCGACTGGAGCCTGTTATGCGTGGGCAGCAGGGCCCCTCAGTAACTTCCCAAATCCATCCAACCCTTTCAGAATCCTTCCAGGTCAATTTTCCCTAAAACTTATTTCAGGTGTTCAGCCGTCCGCCTCCTCTGGCCCAGTCGGCTGGAGCAGGGGACACTCGCCCAGGGGACACTGAGGGAGGCCCAGAGGCGGACCAGGTGCCGCTCAGACCTGTGCCTGCTCGCTTGTCCGGGCGCCTGCGACCCTCGGGGGACATTTGAGCACCAGGTGTGTGTGCCCTTCCTGGGCCTTTGGCTCAGCGCCCGGTGACGGACGGGGCCGCCCAAGGTGGTCATCCGGCTTGTGTTAGTTACTCAAGCCCGGGAAAGGGGGACTCACTGACCTGTCCTCTGGCCCAAGAACAGAAGGCCCAGCACGATGGGCCTCCTCTGCCTGCAGGGTCTCAGCCACCCGGGACAGGGAAGGACCTCCACAAGCAGGGGCTTCCGCAGACACGGAACCAGCAGGGCACAGAAGGCAGAGGAAGAAGGGTCTGCCACTGTCTCCCCGTCACACTGCTTGAGCTGGGACACCTCATCGCCCCCCCAGTTTGGACTCATACCGCCGGCTCCCCTGGTTCTCGGGCCTTTGGACCCAGAATGCGTCCCCCCCGCAGCTCTCCCGGGTCTCCCGCCTGTGGGGTTTCCCGGCCTCTGTGATCAGACCAGCAGTTCCCCGATTAACCTCCCCTCTACACACAGACCTCCGGAGGTTGCTGCAGTCTCGCTCCTTCCGCCGGAGGCATTTGCCTCAGCTGTTTCCTCCTCCTAGAAGGCATTCCTTCGCCCACCGGCCCCCGGCCACGGCTTCCTCCTACTTAATCTCCAGGTTCTCGCCCAAGGGGCCCTTCTGGAGAAAAGCCTTCTCTGACCCCCACGCCGGGACCAGTATGCCCCACCCCCAGTGCCCAGCTGGGCTCTGGAGGGAGGGGCCTGCTCCACAGGAACAAGGCCAGGCAGCAGGCTGCTGGAGGCCGCTTGGAAGGACTGTGAGGAATGGGGCACCGGGGTGAGATGAGGGCAGAGAGCAGGCACCAGGCGCCGAGGGGCCTTGGGACAGATGGGGAGGCCAGGCTCTCCTCTGAAACGCCGCCCCTGCACAGCCCGTACCCCTAACCCAGCACCTAGCGCGTGTGTGTGTGTGTGTGTGTGTGTGTGTGTGTGTAGCGAACAAAGGAAGCAAGATTTCCACACTGGCTCCGACTCCCCAGCACATGCCCATCCTCCTGGGGGCAGTTTCCTGTTCCTGGAGCCTGGACGAGTGGGGGCGGCGGGGTAAGGCTGTGTCCAGACGGAGGGGAGACCGAGGCCCTGGCCGGGGCGGAGGCCGTGGGGATGAAAAGGAAGGGTCGGACGCGAGGGTCTCCTTCCGGGAGGGCAGCTGTGATCGCTTGGTGTCGGCGCCCGGTCCGTTTCTCCGGACTGAAGTCGACGACCGGTCCCCTCTGCCCTTCATCGCCAGCTCCACCGACATCGCGGGAAACTCCATCCCCCGTGACTTCCGCACCCCCACCGAGGGGGGGGCGGCACGTCGGCTCATCCCTCCACGTTCAGTGCTGGGGGCCGGACCCTGGTCTCCCTGCCACCTTCTGGTTTTTCTAGCGGGAGCTCTGCCCACTTGGAATTTCTGGGAAATAACGTGTAGACAAGCCGTCATTTCTGGGGACGATCATGAGATCGAAGATTTGGCCTCTGATTCAATGCGGGGAGGTCACCTTCCACTGCAGTGACAAATGCATCTGGCTGGCCATGACCTCGACTGCGAGAAGTCAGAATATTTTAATTGACCAGCACATTGTCTTCTGAGAGATGCACGAGGATCTGACTGCTTTAAAGGGGGGACAGGAGCCGGGGAAGGAGCGGCCGTCACTTTCGCAGCTGGTCCGAATTCACAGCATGTGCCTTCTTTCCAAAAATGATTACTGTTCATTTTCCAAGCAAGATAATGCTGCACGTCCTTTTGCACAAACGCTCCTTGTTCTTAGACATTATCTAATGGTTTGGCAAAGGAGTTCAGTCATTTACTTGTCAGGAAAACGCCACGAAGAAAGTCACAACTCAGGCGCAGAGACAGGCCATCCAGGATGGCCGCTGCTCCCTCTGACACCCCACAGCACTGAGACAGCCGCCCGCAGTTCACGCCTCAAACTCTCCCAGTGGGAATGTGAACGTGCCCACATCTCACCCTGGCCGGTGTGGCTGTGGGCTGGGTGTTGTCCCACAAACTGAGAAGTCTTGGGTTCGAGTCCCCACCGGGGCACAAGCTTGGGTCGCAACTCTGGTCCCAGGTCAGGGGCCCAAGAGGCAGCCACATGTTGATGGTTTCCCCCCTCTCTTTCTCCCTCCCTTTCCCTCTCTCTAAACATAAATAAAATCTTAAAGGAAAAAACAAAACCCTGCCTCCATTTCATTCCAAACTTCCAGATCCGCCCCCTGCACTGCGCTCCCAGGCGATGCTGACGCAGGACGGGCTCATCCCCCCCCCCACACCGTCCTCTGCTCTAAGGCGGAGACGCCCCACCGAGGGCGCACCTGCTCCCTGCCCCGCCCCATTCGTCCACCTTCTGAGTCTTCCCCCGAAACCCGCCCCCTCCTCCCATGTCCAGATGCTTCCTCCTCTGAGGGCTGCAGGCAGGCACAGGGAGACGAGACAGACACCCAGAGACGGCCGTGCCCCGGGCCACAGGGCCACCACCCGGGGCTCCGGCCCTGGGCTGTGCGTAGACACGAAGACTTCTGTTTCAGACTCGACTGTTTAAGAGAAGCTAGAGGTGTGTCTAGCTTCTCCCCTCTCTGCCTCGTGTCCCTGAACTTACACGTGGTTCTTCCCGCCGTGCCCCTCGCATTACAGTGACCCAAACAGCCGGTTCCGTGCCCGCAGCCCGCCACCATCGGCACGTGTGAGCAGCACACGCCGCTTCTGCACAGGCTTCCCCGGACGCTGCTGGACGCTGCCCCGTGGGAACCGGCGCAGACGGGCTGAACCGGGGGAGGAACTGGGAGACCCTCCGGGGCAGGTGCGCGTCAAAGAATACACGGTGACTCAGTGGCTCCCCCCAGCAAGGGGGAGCCAGAGAGCCACAGGTCGGTAAAGCAAATCCCACCCACAAGGCCTCTGAGTGTTTGTCTTGAAAATTTATTGAGGTGGATTCCCATGGGACAATGGGCAGAGACTCGCTGGATCCTGTTCGCCTGGAGGAAGGGTGTGTGGCGCTGAGTGGCTTGCTGCCGCCCAAGCCCCTGAGCTTCCCCTGGGGGATTGCAGGACGCTCCGCCGTGGCTACAGGAACCTTATCCCGGCTCCAAACTGGACACCATCACACACCCTAGAAAAAGGGCAGAGAGTCAACAGCGGGGCCGGTTCTGCTGGCCCTGCCGCCTTCACAACCCCTCAGGCCTGCACTTCTCAGAGGCGCCCCCGCCCCGGCCCATGGGACCCTCTGGCACTTCCCCGTCACTACCCAGGCACTGATCCCCAGCCTGCGCCTGGCTCGTCACCGGTCTCCAGGGACGGCGCTCAGTCACAGACTACGGTGCCACAAGCCCCTCCCCATAAAATCTAGCCAACAGTTCAGAACTGCCTCCATGTCCACAAAAGTCTGCAATCCGATCAGAGGCGCCAGCATGAGCCCTGGGGAACCTGCAACTTGTCTGCCTGTAATTGACCCCCCTCCGCCTGCCTCCGGCCGAACTTCGGAAACAAAGACTAAATCCTGACGACGTCGCTCAGGAGCCACAAGCTCGGTGCCGGCCGCCCTGTGCAGGAGCCACTGCCCACAGCCACCACCGCCGCCCAAACACCTCGCTCACTGCAGGCCTCGCCCTTCAGAAGAAACCACGCTGAAATTCATCTCTGAAACACCGTTTTCAGAGTGAACCGGGACAGAGAGAGGGAAGCCTGAGACGGTGAATCTGGCCATTCTAGTCAGGACCAGGAAACAGGCCAGTAGACAGGGCTCCCGAGTCAGCGACATTGACTTCTTGGGGCACAGCGACACCCAGTGGCCTCCAGCAGCCATGCAACCCCACTGCCAGCAGGGCGGCTGCCCCCACCTTCCAGCCTGAAGGACAGGAGGCCAGGGCCTGCTGGGCCTGTCCCAAGTCACGGGGGCCAGGGAGTGACAGGGCAGGGGCTGGCAGCCACGCCTGCGGCCTGCTGCTATCCCGGGCAGCGGGCAGGGTGCGGCAGTTCCCGGAATTGGTCCTCTCGCCAGAGAAACCCAATAAAGCCACAGCTTTAAAAGACACAGCTAAAACCCACACGCACCTGCCCGCACTAAAACCTCTACAACCGCGTCCTTGTCTCTCGGGACTGACGCTGACACTGAGTGCAGCCTGTGCACTCTCAGAGACAGACTCAGTGCAGACCCAGCGGGAAGGAGAGGCTCTGGCGGGGAGGTCGGCAGGAGGAGGGTGCCCCCCTGTCCCGCTGAGGGCCCGGGGGCAGAGAGGCCTCTGTATGGCCCTCACATTCGGGCCTTCTGAACAGCTGGGGGGGTGCACGGCAGTGGGGTTTCCTGCCAGCTATACCCGGGCACAGTGGGAAGGCGGGTGCCGGGCCCTGCCGCCGACCCTACAGGTCACGCTGCGAGTCTCCTCTCCTCCGTCAGCAGCAGCCCCTGCTGCACAGGGTGCCTGTGGGGCTGCCGGCACAGCCAAGGTCAAGGGCCCGGCTCAGTGCCTCACAAGAGGTAAGAATTCGATAACCCGGAACCAACATCGCTCCCAGAAGAGACCCCCCCCCGCCCCCCACAGAGTGTGGCTGGTCAACAGCCTCGCCTCACGGGGGTGCCAGGCAGCAACGCAGTGTCTGAGGCCCCCCAGACCAGGGAGTCGCCATCTGCCTTGGCCACCATCCCCCGCTTGAGAAGCAGAGGCTCAAGTGGCTGTCACCTGTGTCTGACTCTACCCCCCCACCCGGGCCCGCACCGCGCTGCTCCCTTCAAAATGCGCTGGGCACCTGTGGTCACCCCAGGGAGGCCCACCTTCACACCTGCTGCGGGGATGCGGCTTTTGGAAGGCAACTCGCAGAACTAGCTTCTTTTATCCAAGGTCGTAAAGGTTCGGGGAATCTGCTGAAAGGTTATCCAAGGCACCAACCTTGCTCCAGACAAAAGTGCCCATTTTTTCATGTTCAACTGACTCTGAAACAAGGACACTACACCCATCTGGGCCCCTCCCAGCACAGCTGGCCAGGGGGCCACACAGGAGCCCAGTGTGGGGGGAGGGACCCGTCTCTTGAAGGAGCCCTTTCCTTGCGAGAAGCTGGCCACACTGACGTGAAAAGAGCCAAATGCACTTCGAGCACATGGACCCTGCGTGGACCCCGCAAGGACCCTGCATGGACCCTGCGGGGTCCCGTCACCCACTGAGTCCTCACACCTGCCAGGCAGCCCCCAGCGTCAGCGCCTGTCCTCTGGACCTGAGGACAGGGACCAGAGAGGCTGAGTACCTGTCACCCCCCCACCTGCCACCGTCACACGGCCGCAGAGCACCCTTCCAGCACCGCACTGCATGTGAGGGGGTAAACAGTCACGGCAGCAGCCTCTGCGGGCCCTGAAGAAGGGCTCTGTCACCTGGGTGCCGAGGTGGCACTGCAGAGGGCACCAGCCTCCCGGTGCGAGGGAAGGGGACAGAGCCTGCCGGACAGAGAGGGCGCTGGGGCACAGGCACGGACCCGCACCTAGGTTCTCACTCGGTTACTGAGAGCTCGCTGCCGTGGCTGCCCATTAAACGGCCCACCGCCCGCCACGCGGCGATCGGAGACGCCTGGGACAGAATTCGCCTAAACTGCTGAGCCTCGGAGCCTGGCTACGATGCAGAGCGCACCACCACTTGGTGGCAGCAGAGCTGTGGGCAGAAGGCCGAAGAGAACCACACAGCCTACAGTGCTGTGCGGAGAGGCATAAAAATGAGGACGACTACCACGACGCTGTGGGGGACGCCTGTCCCCCAAAACCCACGTGCGGAAGCCCTGACGCCCACCAGTGAGGCGGGGCCTTTGGGGGGTAACGGCTCCGAGGAGGCTATGAGGGTGGGGTCCCCATGGTGGGATTCTTCGCATCCTCGTAGGAAGACACCAGAGAGCTGGCTTGTCCTCTCCCTCCTCTGCCACACGAGGACACAGCCAGAGGGCAGCCACCTGCCACCAGGGACCGGTCAGCTGGCACCTGACCCGACCTGCCAGCCCCCCGAGCAGCGCGACCCCGGCCAGTGCCAGCGGCCCCGGCTGACGCTGTGCTGTACCGTGCACACACCGCACCGACCACACTTCTGGGCTCCTCACAGTCGGTCCCGGGCACGCAGAACAGCGTCAGAAGTGCAGTTAATTTCCGTGGCCGTGAGCGGCCCCCTGCTGTCCTCACCCACGGAAATCCTGCTCAGCACAGTGACAGTGGAGGAAGGCCACCGTGGGGGCCCTGCGCCCAGAGGCCTGGCTCGCAGCCCTGCCCTCCAACCTGGCCCCGGGCCTGCACAGTCACCTCCGCGACACCAAACTCCGGAAGCAGGTGTGACAAAGCGACCCCTCCAGCCAGACCTCGAGGGGCTCCCGCTACTGGGCAACAGGAAGTGCAAGCACTGTGGAGGGGATGGGGCCGCACCATCAATCCTCCAAACCCAACGGAGGAAAACCACGTTTTCCTTCTGCTAACTCTTCAAAAATCTTGACTCTCAGAGGCCACCGATGAGACGATTAGCCAAACGAAACCAAGTCGGATTACGAGAAGGCGTTGCGGGACCCTGAGAGCCCAGCACCTACCTGTCGCCGATCTGCACGCCCATGGGGATGCAGTAGTTGAGCTCCAGCCGCGCGATGTTGCCCAGCCTGAGGACCACGCCCGCCCCGTAGGACCAGCGGATGCACTCGGCCAGCTTCCGGATGTGCGCTTGGGGGCCCTCCCCTGGAAAGAGAGAGGAGGGGGTGACCCACACGCCGGGTCCTGTGCTTCCCAGAAGGCGGTCCTGGGCCTGCCCAGCTCCCTCGCTTGCCGGGGGCCCTTGGCCACACTCAAGGGGAACACACAGAGTGAGAGGAGACCCGGAGAGGCCATGGCACACTCGGTCCCTTGCAGGCTGTCTTCCTCTGGACAGCCCCCACCTCCCCCTAGCTGGACACGCCCTCTGTGAGTCTCCCCGGTCCCCGGCCTCTTGAGAACAGGACCAAGCCGTGGCCTTGAGGACGGGCAGAGAGTCAGGGCTCGAGACACACATGCTGAGTGAGCAAAGACCCCCATCTGCCAGACAGCATCAGACGACAGTTCTTCACCTGCACCCCGTTCCCACCACCAACGACTTCACTCTGGGCCCAGCGTCAGGCGGGGTGGCAGCATGTTTAAGGCACGGGCCTTACACGTAAAGGCTACGTCACGTGGACAGACAGACACACCTGTCTGGGTGCTGTGCTTTGAACACCTGGCCGGCCAGCAGCCCCGGCCCTGAGCAGCCGGGCTTACCGTAGTTGAGGTTGCAGAGGTTCCCAGCGTTGAGGAAAAAGTGGGTTCTGAAAAGCTCTCCGAAGCCGCCCTGGCCCGGCCGGAACGGCAGCGGGGTGTACAGGTGCAGGCCCCCGGCCCAGTACGCCTCTCCGCCCAGGTAGTCTCCTAAGCGAGGGGGGGACACAAAACACGGGCTCACAAACGTGGCCCCAGGCTGTCCCTACACCGCACGCGCGCGGGTGTGCGCCACGCACGCATGGTGTGGGGTGTGGACTCAGGCTCTGCCAGCTCCTGCTGCTGCCGGCCCCGCGGCGGTAAAGCTTTCTCTCCCTGGTTTAGTTTACACGTCCCCTGAACTGGGAAACAGAGCTGAGGTAGTTTGGAAAAGAACGAATCAAGAACTCATCCCATCTGGGAAGTGCCTGCAATAATACCAAGGACCTCGTGGAAATCACTTTTCCCACGAATGCCAACTTCCAGATCACACCCGCCAGGCAAACAGCGAGGCCAGAGCAGAGAGACGGAGTGCAGATGTGTCCCTGCGCTTTCTGGACACGCTGTCCCGCTGTTCATCAACAGGCACGGTGTCTGCTGCTCACCGAGTGAGGGACCGGCGTCCCCACCCGACCCCCAGAGGACAGGCTACGGGGCCGGGACTGCCTGTGGAGCACACGCGTGCAGGACTCTGACACGCCCCTGCCCGGCCTAACTTCCAATAGCTGTGACACTAAAGTGACAAAAACCCAACAAGCACCTAAATGCTTATGCTTTGTTGCAAAACATTGTTTGTGAATTGTCTTAGTACCTCCGATCGGAAAGGACAAACGGGGGAAGAGAAACCCGGGCCACCTCCGAGACCACCGCCCGGCAGGGGCTGCTCATCACTGCCAGGCCCCAGGCCCCGGTCCCGTGAGTCTGAGGGCGCAGCAGAACCAAGGCCGGGACCAAGAACACGCGGTCGGTCCGCCGGGTTCGCTCTGTTCCCCTGCACCTGCCTGGCTCATCGATCTGACCACAAGGGGACTAAACTCATTGCAGAAACCTGATAAACACGGGGAAGGGAAAACCCTCTCATTTCTACCACTCGGAGACGACCAGCTCACATCCTGGTGTCCTCCACCCAGTGACTCGTAGGGACTGATTACAAGCGAGAAAATGAAACGTGAGCGGTTTCACACAGACTCTGTATCAGACTTGACACTCTGTATCAAGAACCTAAGATACAAGTGTATATACACGTGTACACACACACACACACAGGGACTTTGCATCACACCCCCTCAAAAACCGGAAGCCCAAATGCTCATCGACAATAGAATGGGCCCATGAAGAGTGGTGGTGTCACACCGAGAAATGTGGAGCAGCACGGAGGGTACACTTGTCACGGCCACTGGCTGAGTGGCGGCCGGAACGTCAGAGGCAGCAGGAGAGAGGAGCTGGTCCAGAGCACATGCACCGTGCGCTCCGCCTGTGCAGTGACTGCAGGCAGTGCCCGCCTCGCCGTGGGTGGCAGGTGTGGGTCTGGAGACCAGGGCCCTCTTACGTCATCTGGCGACAAACACACCCGAGCGATAAGCTCCCAGGAGACTCGGAGAAATACCAAATGTGCGTCGCCTGCCTGAGAGGCCTTGTGCTGTGGGGCCCGGCTGTCTGGCCTCCTGCATAGGCAGCACTGCGGACGCGGCAGGAGACGCAGCAGTTGCCAGGACTGCACTGGGGGCAGGAGGGGTGCGTGGGTGGAGGGTGCTGGACTTTGCGGTGAAAGTGAGGTGGCACTTCTGCACAATACCTCGGGGACAGCTATGTGCCACTGCACACTGACAGACCCACGGGGCGGCCCCAGCATGCACTGCAGACGGAGCTGGTGACTGCGCATCGGCACTGGCTCGGTGACAAGGACAAGTGTAGCCCAGCAGTGCAAGATGCCAGCGACAGGAGCCGCCAGGGAGCCAGCCCTGTGCTTTCTGCTCAAGTCTTCCCCGAACCTGACACTGCTCTCGAGAGTGATGTCTGTGAATCTTTAAAATTATAGTCAGTGAGAGAAGATGCACAGCCATCCCTATGAAACCCCTCCGCACTCAGTCACTGGCGGAGACGCAGGCTGCATGGCAACAGGCACACAGACCCGGCGTCCAGCGACCACGATGCCCGCCTGGGCCGTCACCTGGTGGTGGGACCGCAGGTTGGCAGCGTGCACTTTTCCCTTGTCCCTACAGTCCCCTGGACGAGTGTCCTCCCAGGCCTGCTGTGTGGCAGACACTGCGCGAGGCGCTGACTCCATGGCAGCAATATAAACAAACCCACGCACGCCTTCCTGAGCTGAGACGTGGGCACGGTGGGGAAGACTGACCTTCACTCTGCGGCCCGACGCTGTGCATGCTGAAGCCGCGCACGCTCGTGGGTCCACCAAGGTAGAACCTGGAACGGAACAGCAGGCGTCAGAGGGAAGCTGTCTTGGGACATGAGGTGCCCACAGAGGGAGCTCCCGGGTCTGGGTCCCGTGGGGAAAGGTGTCAGGCAGGACGCACAGGGGCACGGTCGACTGCGTGGGTCTCCTCTCATCCTTTTCACACTTACACAGCCCCCTTCGCAATGGCTGTATTGGGGTTTACTTGCCTCCCTACTGGCAGCTTTAGAGCTTTTGCTACTGTCGACAGCGCTACGATAGATATCCTTGTACATAAATCTCCGTACACGTCTAAATATTGTTGTAAATTATATTCACGAAGGTGAAACTTTAGGTCCCAGAATTTAGAAATTTAAGCCCCATCTGGCCCCCCTTCCCCCCTGGGCTTTAGATACCTAAGTGCAAGTGAAAACAAAACAGACACAATTACTGACAAAACCACATTCTCCACAGTGTTATTTATGTGCAAATAAAGCAGCACTGAAATGCTGCTTATGAAGAATTTCCCCTGACGTGGGGACGGTCTGCTCCCCAATTTCTTTACAGCTTTCAGAAAGTAGGCAGAGCGTGGGTCTGTGCACAGGACACAACACACCAACAACTGGACAGAGCTGTGTGTGTAAATCACAATGTGCACGCGCACCCACCCACAACACAGACAGAACAGAGACACCCCAATGTTAACTCCGCTTATCACTGAGGATTAGTTTTTCACTTCCTTAAATGTTTCTGTACTTTTATATTCCTGCAAATTTCTGCAATCTGAGCATGAACTGTATTCTTTCCTACACAAAAGAGAATACAAATTCTTTAATACAGTTAACTCCCTCTCCGAAAAAGGCAAAAATACCTGGTGTGAGGTATGCTGGGTGTTTTGAAACTAACTTAAACATGAACATTAAAATGAATTTTGAAACATTCGCTCTCCTAGATAAACTCTGAAATATCTTACCAGAAGCCAACAGGAAAGAGCCAAAAGAAAACACCTGCAACGGCCCGCCACCTGATCACCAGCGCTCTCCTCCCTGCCCTGGCTGTGCAGCTCAGTGGACTGAAAGGTTCAATTCCCGGTCGGGGTGCATGCCTGGGCTGCGGGCCAGGTCCCCAGTGATGGGGGTGCAAGAGGCAACCAGTCCATGTTTCCCTCATACATCAATGTTTCCCTCCCTCTCCCTCTCTAAAAATAAATACATAAAAAATCTTTGTCACACTCACCTGTCAGCAATACTTGATGGTTTATCACCAATGGGTACCAGCATTCCACCCCAGAGAGATGCTGAAAAAACCTATTGAATATAAACGAGCAGCCGTTTCTGTCCGCGTTCTTCTCCTTGCTGTGAGTATCAGCAGATAAAAAACTCGGGGCCTGGTCCCCAGCCGCCAGCTGTGCACCTGCGGCTGCAGAGCTGGGCTAGGGCACAGCCCACAGGAAAGCAGCAGCTGGTGCAGCTGGAGAACCACAGCCCTAAGGAAGTGCTTCATGGACACTTTAACCGCCAAACTCCAATGTCAGAAGGAGGCTCCCAGCACAAGCAAGAGGCAAGCCGAACCCGGAGCAGGACCCACTTCCGCTCCATCACAGCAAGGCAGCCACACCTGACAGGGGAAGTGGCCCCCAGGTGACAGGCACCCCAGGTGACAGGCAGAGACACATGGCTCCCAGCCCGGAGCTCAGAGACAGCTCTCACTAACAGGCACTCATCCCCCACTCCTGGGTAAGTCAGGAGGAAGGAAATCCCTGGAAGTGACGGCAGGGAGAGCAGGGCCGTGCCTGCCCCCAGCCCCTCAACCCCGGGTGACAGAGGGGCAGGGCCATGCTGCGGGCCTGTGATCTGCTGTGAGTGGGTCCTGATCCCTTTTAAGGAGAATTGTCACCACCTCACCCCAGAGGACTGCGACCCCGGCAATGTTCAATGAGCAAGCACTGCGGCGTGAGTACCGGGGCTTCAGACGCTTGGGACCTCAGGTCCCCAAAACCAGGCATGGGGGTGCAGGTGCCGGAATTCCGGCCAGATACTCACGGAGTCGAACACAAGTTGTTTATTCAGCTGAAGCTCAAAGTCTTCTTTTATGAAGTTCACGTCCCCTCCAGTGTAGCCAGCCAGCTCCTGGGGAGGGGCCACCATGAGAGAGGAGCAGCAGACTCACCCCACAGGTTCTGGAACAGCCTCATGGCGTTAGAAAACCACAGACCCTCTGTCTGCTGGTGGCCTGCTCTCCGTGGGGCCAGAGGCCTGGTGCGAACCCCGACCACCAAGCGTCCTTAAGAACCCCCAAAGCAAACTGGTCCCACATGCGACAGAACTCGGGCAACACGGGCACTTTATCAAGGAGCTTGCAGTGTGTGACATGGCTCGTGGCCCAATCAGTCCTAATCAGTCCTTGAAAAACACCCACCAGTCTTCCACGACCTGGCACGGCGCGCATAAACACCCGATTTCCAGCCGCTCTCCGACACAGAAGACGGGCCAGGCCCAGCCTGGGCGCCCCACGCAGCCCGCCCTCCGGCCCGGATTCTGTCACGGGAAACCGCTCACACCCCAGCATGACGCTCCCCCAACCCAGGCAGGGACACCGCAGAGGCCAGAGGGCCACGCTCACTCTGCTGCTGGCGAGGGCAGAAGATTGAGCCCTGAGAGGGACTGACACCCTCACAAGCCACTCCAGAAGGATGTTCACAATTACAAGAAGCTGTTCGATATGGAAAATGGGCCTCCCGACATGCCCCACCCCCCTGCCCGGCCCCGAGCACGCAGGCGCGCAGGGGGCGGAGCGCTACCTGGTTGACTTTCAGCAGCGCACCTCTCTTGGGTAAGATGGACGAGTTCCGGGAGTCGAGGACCATGGCATGCTGCAAGACACAGGTGCCGGGCTCCTCAGCTCAAACGGGGCTGTGAAACAGCGAAGCCCACTGCGCGCTAACGCTGGGCCGGATCTCGTGCCGAGCCCTCACCTCGCCGCACAGAAACCCGGTGAGGAAGGCAGGAGCGCCGCCCAGTGCCCCACACCGGAGAGCTGAAAGCGGGCGCAGGCTGCGGCACCACCGCTGGGCCAGTTCTCCTGGGGCTCCACCGGGGCCAGCCCGCAGCGTTCATCTGGCGGCTCTCGCACACACCTGTTCCCGTTACCACCAATGTTACTGAGAAACAGTAACAGGCGGCGCCCATCGGTGACACCTCTCGGTCCGCCCAGACGCGGGCGGTGACTGCGTCCCAATGCACACTGCGGCCGCGGTCATGCCTCGCCACACTCACTCGCAAGAGCATAGTCCTTACCGAAAGCGACGACTTCAGCGAGTGGCCGCTTTCCTGTCGGACGGCAAAGGACGCTGTCCTGGCGAGGCAGCCCAGCTCTCGCCACACGCCCTCCCACTTGACGGTGTGGCTGGTCTTCCATATGGGAAACTGCAAGCACAGGGGCGGTCAGCCTTCTGGTGCCTGACGGCACCCGGACAAGCCTTTGGAGTAGGCGCCCTGACGTCATTCACAAGAGAAGGGCAGCCAGTGAAACACAGAGAGGGAGAGAAGGGGAGGGAGCAGGGGAAGGGGGCGGGGCGAGCAGGGGACTGCGGTGGAATAGAACACTGCGCATGTGGCCAGCAGTCCCAGGAGAGGAGACAGCTCCCAGGGCTGAAAGCTGCGGGCACCTTTGTAACCGACAGGCTTCCTGTCCACCCAGAGACCTGGCACACACCCCACCTGGCCCTCCTGAAGGTGGGCTAGGTGACCCGGGTGACCCAGGTGCCCCCATCAGCACCCAGGGAGGAGCAAAAAGACGAGGTCACAGCAGCATGAAGAGCACCCTTCCTGCAGCCAGAGGCCTAAGCCACGGGAGGTCCCGGTCCCTGCAGGTGGGACAGCCGGCCTTCAATCTCTAGCTCAGGTGTTGCTTAGTGGCCTCGGAAGGCCAATGATGCCGTGACTCTTACGAGGAAGCCAGGTCACTGCACCCTTCCCAGGGGGGAGCCTCACAGTGGTACACTGTAGCCCTCGGGTGTCCAAGAGGACTTCAAACCCAGACCTCCCTGTCCACTTTCGACGTGAGAACGTGGGGGCCCCACCTCAACACGCTTCTCATCAACCCCTACCCTGGCACCATGCTGGGGGCTGGGGGGAGAGACGGCAGGAGGGCGGCTGTTTCCACTGCCTTCCCAGCACTCGGCCCACGGAGGGCGTGAGTGGCCAGAGCCCCTTCTGCCCCATCAGGCAGCTCTTCACAGGAAAACGGCTATACTCGGAGACACAGCTCCTGTCTCTGGGTCACAGCTAGGATGAGGTAGGCCAGGCGACACCATCCGGTTTGCGCAGTGAGGCCGGAGTTCATGTCTCCGGTCCTCACAGCACCAAGGACAAGGAGCGGGACACGGGCCTCTCCCTAGGGGCCTGTCCCTCAACCCCAGGGACACCAGGGTCTGGTGCTGCTGCTCCGCATCCCTCTGCCCTCCACCCGGACCCACCTGGGCCCTTCTCCCCTCCTAAGAATCTGCTGAGAGGCTTGGAGAAAAGAGACACAGGGGACACGAGAAGGCAGGAGAGCCCTCCCACGCTGCTGGCAGCCAGAGAGCCGCTGGAGGAGCGGCTGGGAGCGGCGTCGGCTGGGTGGCCCCTTCTGCACCCCGGCACGGGGGAGAAAGGTGAGAGCTACTCCCTTCAGGCCAGCACAGGCGGCCACTTGCAGAACCAAAAATGAATCACAAATGTGCACGTCTCTGCCCTGCGCTCTGTCCACCTGGTCTACTGAGTTTCCCTGACCTCAGCCTGCAGGGTAAGAAGCGTGAGTAACTCTTGTGTACAGTGCTCCAAGGTGCCATGTGAAGCCCAGCCAGTGACCTCAGGGCTTCAATGGGGTTCTCAGACAAGAGTCAGCGCAGTGGGGTGGGGAACTCCTGGCCCATGGTGGGGTCCAGAGACGTGACTCAGCAGGGCAGGCGGGGCCCAGGGATGTCCATTTCTGGCCTGTGAGGCCAGTGCTGCTGGTCTGAGGGCCACGCTGGGGGAGCTACCGGAACAGGAAAGGAATGGGAACCCATGTGGAAGGGGCAGAAAGAGCAGGGCTCACTGTAAAGCTATAACGGCCAAACGACTTAAGTCCATTTGTTGCATTTGGTTGGATCCTGCTGGCAGTAAACTTGAGCGAGAACCAGCAACCGCACTTTCTGTGACCAGAGTGCTTCTGCGGGCTGTCCAAAGGGGCTGCTCTGAGCATGGGGGGAAGGACGAGCAGGCGGCGTCACAGCAAGTCTGGACCTCAGAGGAAATCTACCAGGTTGGTGAAGCTGCCCCGTGGCTACCAGCCACGCCCCACCCGGTAGCCAGGCCCAAGGACAGGCCCCAGCTGGGAGAGAGAGGGTGGAGGGCAACCAGCAACAATGCCGGGGTAACCCCTCCCCCACCCCTCCCGGTGTCGGGCCTCTGAGGGGTCACTGCTCTCCCCAGCCGCCCTGCTCGCTGTCTTTGGGAGTCCAGTAAAGAGGCGCTGTGTCCTCCCTCGGGCGCAGAGGACGAATGACGGGAGAGCTACTCACGCTGTACTCCGCCGAGATGCCCCGGTCCGTCTCCCGAAGTGAGCTCCACGGGAACTGCCCAGTGACTTTGTACAGGTTCACGGAGAAGCTAGGAGGCAACGGACAGGGCTTTACCCACCAGGACAAGGACCACACTGCACACACTGGAAAAATGCACTTCGGGGAGCCTCGGACTCCGTGGCGTGTGGGAACACGGCCGGATGTCAGCCGACTCGCCGTGGCTCCTTTCCCCAACCAGCAGCCCTTCTAACTGGGAACCGGCCCCTGCGCTCAAGGGTCTGTTTGGCTTCCTACTTTCTTTGGAAGTTTCCAGGCTGTGGTTTGAAGAAGGACAGGCCGTAGGAAGTCTCCTTCGTTCCATAGGAAAACTGAAACGTCACCTTCTCCGCACGGCCTAGAAGGTTTGGCAGCTTGAGGCCAAGCACCTGGGGGGAGAGAGTGGGGCTCTGAAGGGAGGGGTGACAGCTTCCTCAGGAAGCTGAGGCTGGGGAAGGGACCCCCGAGTCTCGGGGAAAATAACAGACTGCAGATCTGGCAGGACCGTCCGCCGCCGCTCTTGCTCGGTAAAACCTGTCTGTGCTGAGCGTACGCACCGCCCCACCCCCCGACCGATCCCAGGGGCCGGCCCCCCTGCTACTGCCCTGGGAGGCTCACGGAAACCAGCTGTGGTTTGGGGCTCGGGGGAACTTGAACAAGAAACTTAACACAAACACTCCCCAAACCATTCCTAACTCACTACTGATGTTCACACTGTTTTCAAACAATCCAAAGCACAGGAGGACAAACTCTCAGAAGACCAATGAGAAGCCGCGGCCATCTCACACTCCAAGGGGCAGCGGCGTGACGGGGTCTGCACCACTGCCCGTCTCACTGGCCGTCTGCGAGCCCGCCGCCGCAGCCCCGCCGCGGGGCAGGAGGGCCCAAGCCGTACCATGCTGCCCTCATTGTTCCCGACCATCGTGTTGTAGCTGCCCGTCAGCCGCCTCAGCTCGGTGACTTCGAAGGTCACGTCCAGCCCGTTCGGAAGGGCGTCGTCACCTAGGGAAGGGGCGAACGCTCCACGGTAAGGCCGACGGAACGCGCACTTCACGTCCGGTCCCACTGCGACAACGCTGTGTGAAGGCTCGGTCTGTTTTACAACCTCCTTTGTAACCCCCACTCTCCATTTTCAAGTTCAAGAACACTGCCACCCACAGTCATCCCTGCCTCTACACCAAAGCACCTGGGCCCAGTTTCGGCGGCAGAGTCCCAGAAGACAGACTCCGCTGCAAGGGCACGGCCACCGCAGCGCCCTGGCCAAGCACACAGGGTTTGCTTCTGTCCTCCCACCAAGGGACCATGACACCACTTGGGGTCTCAGCTCAACTGACACTCAGATGGGGACTCTCGTGACAAGAGGGACTCTAGGGACCCTGAAGGAGAAGCGAGGGCTGAGCTACAAGCGCAGGAGGTGATTATTTTGATCCTCCTTCATACTGGGGGTGCGGCGCCTGCAGGATGATTGGGGCCCGAACCCGGTGCTGAGCGCCCGGCTGCCGGGAAGCAGGGCTGAGCTCCCAGGCTGTGGGCCGCTCACGGGAAGGAGGGGCGACCCTGACCCCGGCTGGACAGGAGACGCTCCGGGGAGCTGTCAAAGGCTGAGACGCCCAGGCCCTGGCTCCCAAATACTGATTCAGCTGGTCAGGGTAGAGTCTTGGCATCATCTTTTTACTTTTCTTTAAATAATAGGTTTTATCGTTTAAGGCAGTTTCCAGTTCATCGAAAAGCTGAAAACAGAGCAGCTTCCCTGCCTCCTCACACGCATTTCCTGTTATTAACATGTGGCATCGGGGTGGCCGAGGCTACGGCTGACTCGAGAGTCAGACACTGCTTTTCAGTACTGTGCGGTCTGTGCCGGGGTTCACTCTTGCTGTTGTCCATTCTCGGGGGGCCACCATCACCGACTCACACAGAACGACCTCGCTGCCCTAACCCGCGATTTCCTAACAGTGCCCAGCAATTCCGGTGTGCAGCTGGGTAACCGCTGACACTGCGGGCTGGCTGACCACACACGAGTCCCACTCTCAGCAGACAGAAGGCCACGAAAGCCAATGCCACCACCAAGACCTGCCACCACGAGCAGCACGAGCAGGTGGCAGCAGGGGCCGTCCGCCGCCCCTTCATTAGACCTGGGGCACGTTCTTAAACTTCCTAGCCTGCTGCTTAGCTGAAATTGTTCTTTCTCACAGAATAACAGTGTCCAGGTTTCTGTGAGATTCACCTGGGTCACGGACACAAACCCTTACGCAGAGCTGAGCATGGCACGACTATCGCAGTGAGGGCACGGTGACAGCTGGCTGTCTCCCTGAGTCGTCCTCTGCCCTCACTCAGCCAGTGGGGCTCCAACTATGCCCGACTGCCGGCCGCGCCCCCAAAGCGCCTGCTTCCATGGAATGTGCATTCCTGCCAAGCCCCAGGCCAGGGCCGCGCTGCTGGGCTGGGACCACACTCAGAACCGCTGCTCTAGCCGCCGCGAGTCCTCACTCCCCAGACGAGCCACTTGGACCGGACCGCACTGCCGTCCTCCCTGCACTAGGCTGAGCTCATCCAGGCTGGTGGGGTCAGAGGGGTGCTGTGCGCACCACCGGGACCGGTGCATAAGGGAAGGGCGAGCCTTCCCCTCCTTTCCTCCTCCCCAATGTGGGCGCTGGAGCTGTGCTCGGCCACCACAGGGACCAGGGGACACTGGGGACAATGCAGTGACGAGACACCATGGGAAAACCACACCAGCCCCAGACCGTCCCCCACAGCAAACAGGCAAATGAATACAAACTAAAACGGAACTCCAATCTGTAGTGCCACCTCTTTTCAAAGTGTGTGTTCCGATGGGGCCCACAAGGGCCCCCTCAGACACCTGCTGGGCTGAGCGAGTATCACCAAGGATGACCTGGCTCCTGCCTCCGGGACCCTTCTCGGACGCCTGGCACCATCCAGGGGTTCAGAGGACAGTATGTTCAAAGTGCGCCCGCCCTCCCCAGGCCTGACACACAAACCCAGTTACCCCCCGGGACTGCTGACCACCCAGGCCGGGCTGCCTCTGCCGGGACACACGCACTGCTTCCGTGACCCCGGGAGGCGAGTGGGGGGCACCACGGAGAACAACACACAGCACGTACCTTGGCATGTGTCAATCAAAACGTCCACTTGTTTAAATATCCCCAGACGAAGCAGTTTTTCTCGGGCTTCGTGAGATTTCCGCATTACCTACGAGGCAGGAAACCAGAGAACATTTCTCTCTAAGGTTCAGAAACATGAACAGGGGGCCCTGGGCCCAGGCTGGCGGTCACTGTCGCCTCCTGGCTGGTCCCTGGGAAGAGAGCACCACTCAGACCAGACACAAAAGAAAGGACCAGGCACTGAGGGGCAACAAGAAATCCCATTCAGAGAGTGGAACACAGAGCGATAACACAATCCCTTCTGTGCGAGCAAACCAATCAACGCACCAAACTGAAAAGCACCCGCCGGGCAGGCTCTCCTGGTGAGAGTCACGGCCAACTGCCAACCGTTACACCCAGATAAAGGGCACCCGGGTCTGTGCCCACACACGCCTCTCAGTTGTCCGAATCTCCTCACCGCCACGCCGCCTCCTCTGTCCAGAGCGGTCCTTTTCACGGTGACCTCCCAGCCAGAGGGACACCAGGGGTGGGAGAAGGGACTCAGGGAGCCGAGGGGGGGACCCATGTCGGGGCAGAGTGTGGGGCTCGTCCGTCGGGAACAGGGTGAGATGGCAGACTTTCGAGCGGCGGCGGGGAAACAGTGGAGTTTACGCAGGACTGGAGCTGACCACGTGAGCAAACGTGGGGGCGGGGGGAGGGAAGTGGACGTGGAGGGGCGGGAGGGATCCCAAGGCAGGCCCGGCAGCTGAGGGCGGCTGGACACACCCAGGGCACGGCGTCCGAGGGGGGGACAGACGACACCCAGTTCGGAGACAGGAGTCTGAGGACAGTCACGGGCTGGGTGGAGCAGCCGAGAGGTGAGAGGAGGCAACAGACGCCATGGCTCTGGGCTCCCCGCTTCTCGGTGCTGTGGGAGCAGTTGGGGTCGGGTGGGCGGGGGCTGGGGGGCAATGGGGAGTCTGGTTTGTGGCAACCCCACGAGGAAATGCTGAGTGGGCAGTCACACACACAGGGCTGAAGCCCTGAGGACAGGAAATGGGTGGAAATGAGGGTGAGGAGCCCTCGGCAGAGAGGCTGCAGCTGAGACCAGCGGTGGACGGGCTCACCAGGGGACCGATCCTCGCAGGGACCAACACTTCAGGGGGGTCGCAGGGAAAGGGGCTGCCAACAGACCTAAAATGAACGTGACGGGGCAGGAAGCAGCCCAGGAGAGTGTGGGACCCACGGAGACCGAGGGAAAGGCATGTGGAGTGAGAGCAGGAGGCAGACACGTGCCGAAGACAGCAAAGCGAGAAAAACACAGTCAGCGTGGCAGCTGTCACTGTCAACATGCAAGAAGCTTCTTAATAAAAGCCCAACAGTGGGAAGGGAAACAAAGTCACCAGCAGGTCATTCACAGAAGAAAAATGTGAATGGCCAAGAGACATGGAAAGGCACTTCATCTCATTCATAATTAAAACGCAAATTAGCCCTGGCTGGTGTGGCTCAGTGGACTGAACGCCAGCTTGTGAACCAAGGGGTCGTTGGTCCAATTCCCAGTCAGGGCACATGCCTGGGTTGCAAGTCAGGTCCCCAGTGTGGGGGGCGTGCAAGAGGCGACCACACACTGATGTTTTTCCTCCTCCCTTCCCCTTTCTTTAAAATAAATAAATAAAAATACTTTATAAATTAAAGGTGCAAATTGGAGCAAAGAAGATGGTGTTTTTCACTTAACAGGCAGGCAGGAGTTTTTAAACTGCATTACCATCCAACGTTTTGAAACGTTGTGGAACAGACGCTCCTACCCAGCTGCTGGAGGTCTCTCGCAGGGCAATGTGCTCAGAGTACAGAGCGCCACCTGCAGAGCCAACCCCGAGCGTGCCGTCACACGGACACTAAGGCACTCACCGCAGCGCTGCTCCTAGGAACGAAGCGCTCCGTCTACGTCACAGGGCGCAAACACAAGGCCCCCACCTTGTTTTATCCGGCCTGGCACCTTGTTTCTACCCGGTGGCAGTGCCAGGCTCTCCCTTAACTGTTAAGGAGTAGTTACATCTATACAGTCGTAAAATGACATTCGGCCCTTGGTGGGAACTGCAAGGCTGATGTGGCCCCCGGTGACAATGAATTTGACGCCCCTCGTCTACATGAATGCCCACCCACGGGAAACTGTTCGGGAAACGAAGGGAAGCAGTGAGATACGGAGCAGGCGGTACGGGTCCGTGTGAGAAGAGCTCCGTGCCGATCGGTAACGTCCACCACGAAAGGCGCAGGAGGAATGTGGGGGACAGGACCGCTGCTCACGGGCTTGGCGGGGTCCTACCTGTGCACCACGTTCCTGGGAGGACGGGCAGGGCGCCGAGGCCCCGCGTTCTCCGAGGGCGGGCGGGCCTAGGCACGCCACACCGCTGCCTCGTTTCATACTGGTTTTCAACTGCACTCGTGTACTGACCTTTTTACAGCAGCACTAACTTCTAAAAGGGGGTGGTCAAGCACTGCTGAAAGGTCAAGTGAAAGGGGGACTGCAAGGGGCCGCTGGCCCAGGCCCGAGGAAGCTGGGGGCGGCCGCGCTGGGCACGTGAGTGGGGCTCCAGGACCAGAAGCACAGGAGGAGCCCATGGACGACAGGAGGCAGACCCTGCAACCCGGGGAGGAGGCTGGGGAAACGGAGCACCAGCCCAAGGGGAGCGCCTGAGCGTCACCCCAAGAGGCCGGAGGGCCCCGAAGGAGGGAGTGCGGGGGAGCGTCAGGCAGGGGGCTGTGGGCGGGCAGTGCTGGGCACCGGCCCAGCCTCCCTTCCAATGCTGGGCAGTTGTAAACACAGAGATTTACTGGCCTTGGAAAAGAGGGCAGACACCCCGTCGCAGGGATAAGGGCGAATGCAAACCTATGTAAGTCTGTCGGAAGCGCCTGGGGAGCTGGGGTGTCAGCATGGGGCACCAGCACTCCCTTCGGGGCAGGAGGCGAGGCCAACAGGGCAGAGGCTGGGGCGCGGCACGTGCCGGGGCGCGGACACGGGAGAGTCACCGCATCTTCGGAAGGCAGTGGAAAAGACGCCGGCAGGGGAAATACTTGCCTCGATAAGGTTTTTAGCCTTAAAAACGTCTCCAATTTCATACATGATGATATCATCTTTCGTCCTTCCGAGCCCATCAAAGTGAACATGCTGGACCACCACCTGGAAGGGACAAGAGGACACAGATGGCTGAGTGGGACACAGGGTGAACAGGCGGCCAGGCAGAGGGCTGAAGACAGATGTTGCAGTTACTTTCCAGGGTTTCTTTTCAAGGTCAATAACCCACACTTCTTAGTTCCAGACTTTATTCTATTCGTCTTTCACACCTTTTCAAATAACCGGTAACTTGAACTTAGCCTGTGCTAGATCTGTACTTCCTGTGAACAAGGCCATAAGGTCTCTGAGCCCAGACGACCAGGGACCACGTCCGCCCCAAACCCAGTGGCGCAGAGGCGCCCTGCGTGTGCCCCCCAACATGACCCCCCAGCGCCGGCCCCCGCACACTGACTGGGGCCTGGCTCCACACTGCGGGCATCCCACCCGAGATCTTGTGTGGTCGGCACGGTCACGAGTGCCGGCCCCGAGCCCCCGCCTGTGTCCCCTCGCTGGGCAGTGAACTCTTCCAGAGCCGGAGCCACGTCTCGCTCACGGCCATTCTCCCACTTTGCACAGCAAATACACAGCGGTTCGTTTACGTTGTGTGAGAAAAACACGCCGACTGCCTGTGGGACCGGGGTTACCCCGAACACAGGCTACAGCAGCGGACACAACGGACTCCTGCCTCTACAGGGCTGACGTTTTAGGGCGGGAGAAAGCAGCGGCCTGTGATAAAGTGGGCGGCGCCGAGCAACAGAAAAATAAAGCCGAGTTCACAGGAAGCACTAGGGAAATGTTTCACTTGCAGCTGCCTGGGACACCACGGAGACCACCTTAATGCAGAATTAATGAAAATGTGCTTACATTTCTTCAGCTGTCTTCCACTTTAGAAACAATAAAGTTTAAGAAATGTTTCACTCAAGACCCAAGGTCTTTTTCCTAGGAGCAGGGAACAGAGTATAAACTGAAGCATAATTTGAGTTAGTCTTTGGAATGCCTTTTTTTAATGACATAAATACAAAATGTGTTTGTCTACACTTCCCACATAAATAATCAAGGAAAAACTACTTTTCTAAAGCCATTTTAACTATTAACACACTACGTTTCTAAGTCACGGGCCTTCCTACAGTGCAGTTGGGTACACGTTCTTCTCCGACGAAGTCTCACTCGGGTGGAACCCTTCCCCTCTCCTTCCCTCCCCTGGAGGCTTAGGGAGCGAGTGTCTCCAGCGACAACCACAGGGTTGGGCAGAAATCGCGCCTGCTTGAGTGTAGTCGGTGGGGGGACACCTAACACAGTTTTCATTTGCACATTTCACCTAAGAGGTCACATGGTGTGCTCGAGTGTGACACTGTTATCGTACAGAATGACATGCTTATGGTTCTGTAATGGAAGAAGGGGCGTTACTTGTGCTGGACCCTGTGTCTCAACCCTTCAACGGAATACTTACATCTTTGTTTTCCAGAATTTCCTGTTTAGCTTCCGGTTCAACTTCAACAAATTCAGCTTCTTCTCCTAATCCTCCAAAGTCAGGCCCACTGGCTGGAAGAGGCTCCAAACTCTGAAGGGGAAGGAGGAACCATGGATTAGCGAACTTGTACTGTACAAAAGTCCAGAACCTTAGTCTTCAGATGATGCTCCAGGAACACAGTACCGCACCTCCCCCTGGTAAGTGGAGGTGGGGGTGGGGGTGGGGGGCCAAGGGCATGGGCTGCTGTTGAAGTCCAAGTCTTACACTGGCGGTGGGGTCCTCGGTGTCCAGTGGGCTATTAACAAATAAAACAAAGATGAACTGTCAAGTAACTGAAAGGGTCGGGCACGAACCTACAAGGATTATGGCCAATGCAGTTCTGAACATTCTGAGGCCCCTTTGAAAACGAAAATAATTTAAAAATAAGATGTCACAAAGACATGTATCAGGAAAAGAAAAAAATGTTTTTCTGTTGTTAGAGAAAGTATCTTAATTTTTTGAAACAAAATTGGATACATTTTAGGACAACTAATCACACAAGCTGGCATCCCAAATGACTACCACGCACTGCTCTGGACGGCAGATTTGTTTTGGTTCCGAACATTCACACTAAGAGCAAACTGCTCCACAGTGGGTCGGGAAGAGATCACTTCCTTCCATCTGAACTGCCATCGGCTGGAAAGCCCTACAGGGTCTTCCAAACACGGCCTCCGAGGGCCGTGCCCGGTCAGTCCTCTCGGGGAGACAGGCAGTATGCACGGTGTGTTGTAACAGCGCATTTTACACACGTGCTTGCCCAGCCACAGGGATACCCAGACCAGACCTCTGGATCCTGGAACAGATCCAGAGGCCTCATGGGGCACCGGGTGATTGTACAAACACGCAAGTTTGGGGAAAACCAGGCTAACTACTTATCTGGCGGCCTCCTTACTCCAGCAACTCTCCACAGAGAAGCACTTCTGAGTGCAGAGCACTGTGAGACCCCTGCAGCGCGCAGAGCAGGGGGGACTCTGGACTGCAGTCACCTTCCCCCCGGAATACTCAACGGCCTCTTGTCAGCACCTGCTCTGTAACGTCTCTGGTCCCCGGAAAGGTAGTGACCTGGCAGCACCCTGTCCTCTCTCCCAACCTTGCCCTAGGAGACCCGGATGGTCCTCAGAAAGTGCCTACCGGTTAGAACCCAGCTGGACTTCTTCGCAGGGCCCACAAGGAGCTCCAGCACAAGGCCCACGTGCACCCCCCGGCCCCCACATTCCTGTTTGGGACACCCTGTTCTCTCTGTGAGAAACAACTTCCCCACTAAGCAGCTTAGAGAGCCACCTTACACGGCACCCCCTCCGTGCGCCGTCCCTGGCTTCTTCAGGTAGAACCAGTCCCTCCCGCAGAGGGACGCCTCGACACCGGGAGTTCATGAGCGCTCCTCCTCTGTTGTATTTTACCAGCCCTGGTGCGCCAGAAGGACTCAAGTATTTATGAAATGAGTCACTGAATGGATTTTTTTTTCTGCACATTTAATAAATGTCGACTGAGTGCGCAGTGCATGCTGAGCCTCGGGCAGGGACTCCGCAGGGGGCCGGACAGACAGAGTCCCCGTCTCACAGCGCTTCAGGTGGTAAAGGAAAGACAATACTAGGCAAATGTATGTCATTCACTTCATATCCTTTCACTTTTGGTGTGTAACATTTAAAACACGAATCATTACTATAGTTCTCAAATATATCAACAAATTAAAATAGTAACTTTTTCCTGCACCACATCATAAGGGTGTTCTCTATTTAAGCTTACACAGTACAAAAAGTGTATCAAATCTGTGCAAACCGTGTGCAGAGTATGTACTGTGGTTAAGAGTATACGCACACGTTGTGTCCCCCTTAATCTGAATGTTAAACACATATGCTCTGTCCGGGCAAAGTTTATGTTCCATTATGTTTTAACAAATCCACCAAGACTCACTAAAGTCTCTTGATTTCAAAGTCTGAAATGAGACTCACTAAACACCTGCCAGACCCATTTGCCTTCTTTGATCTGAAACTCAAGACTGTGAGAGATGATGTCTTTATGATGGTACAGTTATGTCAAAGCTTGATGTCCCAGTTAACTGTCTTACTTATTCACCAAATACTAAGAACCTACTATGTGACGAGCACTAACAAGATCCTCGTAGAATTTATATTCCAGCGTCTGAAAGAGTAGGCACAATGTTAAATATTTGGAGAAATATATTAAAATAAATATCTGGATCTAGCCTCTCACCTTTAAGCTGATCAGTCTACATCAGCCAGTCAAATGTTACTGACCACCATCTGCCCGGCAGAGCACAAAGCAGTGTGACTACAGGGACAGGGCATGAAATCAACTGAGTATGACCCGCATCTTTAAAGTGATATAGACTACAGTCAAATGGAACATATTAAAAAATTACAGGTATTTGTGGTAAATACTGTTTCACAAAACTTTTGTTTCACGTGTGCCTGAGGGTACTGGGCAGAAAACATAAAATGTTTTCCTGTGAGTCTTGACCAGAAAGTCTGCGTAACACTGGCTACTAAAATAGAAAGATCAAACAAAATTACAACATTTTTGGTCACACTAACGAAAGCAGCCGCCATCTTAGCATCAAAGGAACACAACAGAAGCACTTTTTTCCCCTGCCTCCCTGGCACCTGCAACGGTGCCCAGCACAGAGCAGCCCACGGGGCAGTATCACTGGAGTAAATGATTGCTTACTTTGTTCAAGATGCTACAAAAGATGCAAGCCAAGTAAGATGCAGTTCCTACTAGTAACATCTACAACCTGAGAATCTAAAAGGATAAGATAAAAATGGAAACAGAGATAAAACAGGGCACTAGGGGGAAAATGTCAAGGAAGTGAGCAGCACAACCACATGAGAGGAAGCAAGGGGAGGTCTAGCCAGAACTCAGTACTGGGTTCTAACCGATGGGAACGTTCTGACAGCTAAAGACCCGACCCGAACGCTGTGGGCGGATGATGGAAGAAGGAACGGGGTGCGACAGTGCCTTCCAGAGTGTGTCAGAAAAGCAGCGGTGTGTCTTGAATGAAAGATCTGGGAAGTCCTACTCCGGACCCCCAGCTGAGAAGTCTGGGCTACATTCTGTTGGAAGACGCTGGGAAACGCCTGGGAACTTGTGAGCAGAGCAAGTGAAACAACCCCTGTTGCGGCAGGAGAGTCGTTTTCCGCGCTGGGACTCGGGAGATCTGAGTTTTGGAACACTCTGAGGCTCTAACACTGTGCCCTTGGACAAAATATTCCTCCTCGGGCCCTCAGTGAAGATGACGATCAAAAAGAACAGTTTGGCAAGCAGTTAGTTCGCGCCACAAAGTTAAGTACTTAATGTTCATTGTCTTCTAATTCTCTCAACAGCCTGGTGAATAGGCACCACTACCGCCTCCACTTGACAAGGCGGAACCAAAGCGCTGGCAGGCTCCGTCTTGGACGGTCACAAGTAGAAAGGACTCCTAGATAGTTCTGGGTTGCAAGACTTCAAAGGACACTTGCTGCTCCAGGAGGTTAGCGTGACTCCAGCAGCGGCTGACAGGGAAACTAGAAAAAGCGACCGGCGAGGAGACGCCCGAAACCACTGAAGGTACAGAAGTCAAGCCATGGAGAGGAAAACTTAATACTCTGCTCCAGGATTTCACGGGAACTTAGCTACTCCCCTCATGGCCACCGCCTCGCTGAGTGACCTTGGGCAAGTCTCGCCCCTTCTCTGAGTATCGGTTTCCTGCTTGGAGATCTGCGGGACCCGCTAGAGGCGTCTTCACGGCCTCCGCGCCCACGGAGCCCACTGACCAGGGGACCCCTGAGCGCAGCCGCGAGAGCGTCGCCACGCGGTGCCCTCCCAGAGGTCACATAGCCCGCTGGGCCTCTTACCCGGGCGTGCACCGTCCCCATGTTTCCCTCTCCGACCGCCGCCTCACAGAGCAGCCCGCGTCCAACCCAGGATCGGCTGGTGTGGGCAGAGGGCGGGGCCGCGGTGGCGGAGCTACCGGTCAGTGCACCACCTACAAGCCGCCGGACGCGGCGCGCTGGGGGCGGCCATGATGTCCTTCCTTAACCCCGCCCCCTGGTTCACGATGCTTTAGTTCATTGGTCCTTTAGGAGCCAGTAACCCGGATGTTTTTGTGGACGCAGGGCGGCTGGAGCAAGCACAGAAAGCCCAACGATGCCTGCAAACCTGCTGATAGAGCAAGGTACTGAGTGAGTCTCTGCTAATATCAGGTGTACGGAGTGGCCTCCGGGAAGGAGCGCACCATCTTCACCCAGAAGCTGTCGTTCTTAATCCTCTTGGCACCCCGGCCCAGTAGGTGGTGTGTTGTTCCCATGCTCATTCCAAGCGCTGACGCTCCCCACACACGCATGTAGCCCTGGCCTCACCCAGCGTCGGAGCTGCACGAATCCGACTGTCGCCCTGTGCCCCTCCTGCTGGCCGCACGGACCTTTTCAAGTCACTGGCACTCCCTAGGGCTCAGTCTCATTGGCAAAATGAAGTTGATGGTCATAGCTACTTCACAGGGTTGGATTAATGGGGCTCGTGCATCAGAGACGGAATGTAAAAACGCCTGGCATCGTGCAGGGCACGCAGCAAGCGGTGGATAAGCAACCATCATTCATTCAGCTGCAACCAGTAAATATTAGAGGGTCATCCAAGGGTTCGGATGTGGCCATTCACATTGAAGAACAAGAGGGCCTTGAGGCCTCGGTTTTTTTTCTTTTTTTAAGATTGTATTTATTTTTAGAGAGAGGGGAAATGAGGGAAAGAAACATCAATCTTGTACGTGTCCTGACTGGGACTAAACCTGCAACCCGGGCATGTGCCCTGACTGGGAATCAACTGGCGACCTTTGGCTTTGCGGGTGACTCCCAACCAACAGCCACACGGGCCAGGGCTTGGTGTCATTTTGGTGGTGGAAACAAAAAGAAACACACCATATTGTGGTAAATAATAGTCACACACTACGAAAAGTTCAAGGAATGAAAGAAAAGAGCCAGAGAGAATGAGAAGAGGGAATTTCAGTGTTAGGCGGACTCGTCTTTCCACTCCCTTCTGGTAACAGTATCATTCCTTCCTTTTCTCCTTGTACCCCTCCCAGATATCCCTGCACCCTTTCCATTTAAATGGCAGCGCCCTCCAACAAATGAACAAAACAGGAACAGACACACAGATACAGAGAGCGGACTGATGTTTGCCAAAGGGGAGGGGGTGGATGAATGGGTGGAAAAAACACTTGAAAAGAAACAGGCTGATGCCACAAATCCACCCTCTGGGCTCTGACCTTTATTATTTATTTACTGATGGGGAGAGGGAGGGAGAAAGTGGGAGAGAAACCTGATCTGGGACCAAACCCACAACCATTGGAAATCGAACCAGTAACCTTCCACGTGGTGGGAGAACATCCAACTGAGCCACATTGGTCAGGGTTGGACTCTGATTTAATTGATCTGGGGTCCATTGTTGGTAGTGGGACAGGCTCCAGGGAACTTAAAAAGTGTTCCCAGGGGAAGCTTTTCCCGCTCTGTTGCAGAGCGGAGTCCCGCACACCTGAGAAGCGAATAGCAGAAACTCAAGCCTCTAGCATCCCTGGGGTAAATATTCCAAGTCCTTGGAAAGAGGCAGAAGTTGCCACCTGCCAGACCCCTTGCAGGTTGACCTACCTGTCTCCCTAGCCGGACCCTCGCCCCCAAGACAGAATCTGGTCCACCTGGTTCAGTCCCCAAGCCCAGAGGCTGGCACAGCACCTGACGCGATGCAGGGATTCAGCTAAGTGCCAAGTAACTCCACTCCCATCCCAGACTTGGACTTGGACAGACAGTCTCGGCTCTGAGCAGATGCTACCCGTCCATGAAGATAGGCTTGAGAGCTGGGAGGGAGGATGAAAGAGACGTTGGGTGATCCTGCCACTGCTGCACGCCAGGTCCTCTAATACGTGCGACAGTCCGCCCTGCCCGATTCACAGCCATGCTGCTGCTGCTTTGTGCAGTGCCAACTCAGCACATCGTTGGTGGGGAACTGAAGTTGGCACAGGCTTTCCTTCACCCCTGCCCCCGTGCTTTTGCTCATGTTGCTCCTCCTGTGGAAGAAGCACTCCCGTGGCCTGGGACTGCCCACGTAGCCCTCAAGGCTCAGCCCACACCTGGCCTTGATGCACAAGACAGTCACACGCCCATGCCCCAGCGGTGCCTCCCGCAGTGTCCTGGAGGTCATGCCAGAGCCCTTCTGGGATGATTGTTCCAGATGCGCCTTCCTGGGCCCTGGCCCTGACCTGCTGGGTCAGAATCTCTGGACCGCAGAACCTGGAAACCTGCATTCGGAAGAAGTATGTCAGGTTGCTCTTTTGCCCACAAGGTTTAAGAACCCCTCGTGGGAACATTCTTTTTTTCCATGTCTTTCCTCACCACTAGTTTCCAAAGCCTTTGAAACAGGTCTGCTAACCTGCTCACGCAGAACCCGGTTGGAAATCTGAGAAGAGACACAGGGAAGGTTGGGGAGGAGGGGGAGGCAGGGCACAGGCAGGAGGTGGGGGACGGGTGCAGGTGCGCACAGGGCAGGCAGGACAGCCTCCCTCAGAGACAGGACGGTGTGGGGGGCCAGGCCTGCGGGGTGGCTTCTGGCCTGGGCCCCAGATCAAAAGGCCGAGCGCTGCCGGAGGAAGACCGGGGCTGCGATTAGCGGTGGGGCCCCAGGCAGGCCATGCCTGCAGTAAAAACGATGTGATGGGCTTTTGAGGGCTCCACCAGCTCTACAGAAGTGTAAGACTCAGTTTATATTTCACACTAGGAGGTGAAACGTCCTGGCATCGCAGGCTCCTAAGCCCACTCTGGATGTCCATTTGCCAGGAGATCAGCAACAGCGGCCAGCCCCCACTTAACTACAGGAGCGGGCTTATCACAGGCCACCAGGGTTCAGGCAGGATTCTACCTGCCGCCTCTAATTGTGCAACCTCCGTGAGGCCCGCTCCTCCCTGGGTCAGCCCCCTCTTTCGTAGGGTGGGGGTGGTAACAGAATGTACCTCATAGGGTTGCTTTGAGGGTTCAGTGAATCCACAGACGTAAAGCCCAGATGAGGCGTCCACCAAGGCCGGGCCGTCCCTGCAGCTGCGTGCCAGGCACGGGGCTGAGTGCCCCTCATAAACAGCCTTACTGAGCCATCCCAGCGAGGTGGCCTTTTACAGGCGATGAAACTGAGGATCAGAGAGTGACACCCTGAACCCAGGTGAGACCAAACACAGGAGCGTCTAAGGTGGTCTCACGTTCTCAGCCTGCTCTGAGCAGTGCCCACCCAACCCAGGGACCAGGGACAGGACTGGACTAAAGCAGATGGTGGCTCAGGGCCCCCCTACCCTGAGCTCCTCCCTTCTGGTGATTTTAAAAGAGGTGAAGGGAGCCTAGAAAACAGGCTGTGGGCACTGGGGTCCCTGTAGACAGAAGCCCTGCCCTGTTGTTCCCTGGCAGGCCTGACACTGAATGTCCTGGGCTCAGTGTCCACAGGCTCAGCCTCTGGGACCCAGGACACTGGCCCTGGCCACTGAAGAAAAGCTCTGGAGGTCTTGGTGACCGCCGGCTCAGACCTAAAGTCCCTGCTAGGTGTGAAGACCGACAGAGGTAAGTAATCTGGGAGACTGGACACATTTTAAGCCCAAGTCAGGCCATGGCGATAAGTGGCCCTCCAGGTGGTGGGTCAGTCACAACTGACAAGCATGTAGTGTGAGAACTAACCCCTGTGGGGTTTTTTTGGTTAAAGGAACCATAATCCAGCCTGTCCTAACAGATCAGTTCACCTGACAATGACACCTGCTGGCAACCCAGAAAACTGGGTTTGTGAGGTGCCAGCCCGGGCCCATCGGGAGCTGAGTGCGGTTCAGTGACTGCACGGGGTCCCTTGGAAACCAACGCCGCGTGTCCCCATGTTGGGGTGCAGGAGAGGGATGGCCGGGTGGGCACGTGGGCTGGACTCTCCCCTGAGCCTTGGACTGTGGGGGTCCTCGCTCACTCCCAGGACCACCCCCAGGAGTGCGCAGAGCAGGCCCATCTGAGCTTTGGCACAGGGCCCGGCACCCAGGATGGACAAGGGCCCCTGCGACCTGGGTCCCAGAGGAGGGACAGGGACTCCCGGAGGGTCTGGGCCAGTGTCCAGGGAGGCGCATGCGTGAGTCACCTGGCCTGGCAGGGCCATCTGGGGAGTGAGGCAGCCAACCTCAGCTGGGGGGCAAGAAAAGCAACACCATGGCTCCTTGGAAAGAATGGAGAGTCAAGGGAAGGCATTTTAAATATCACATTTATTATGGGTTCTTTTTCATTGTATTTACTTTTTAATCCTCATCCAAGGATATGTTTTGTCAATTTTAGAAAGAGAGGAAAGGAAAGAAAGAGAAACGTTGCTTCCCACATGTACCCCAAACCCACAACCCAGGTACGTGCCCTGACTGGGAATCGAACCCACAACCTTTTGGTGTATGGGACGATCCTCCAACAAATGAGCCACCCAGCCAGGGGTTACTGTGAGTTCTTTTCAGATGAAAGTAATCATATGTTCACATAGAAATTTGGAAAACACATATACGCACAACAGATAAAATAGAATCACAGATACGAGCATAAGGATGACCGTGGAGAGTATCTGGGTCTGTGTCCTTTTCACCTTCTTCCCCATACACACCCACACCCACCCACTTCGTTTCCGCGGGACCTGGCACCCTCCCCACCCCAGGCTACACGGCTGTTCTGGAAGTCAGGACCGTTGCTGCCGGCCACTAACTGGACTGCACGCAGCAATGCACCGCGAGGAGAGTGAGGGTTCCACCTGGCCAGGCAGGAGGCCTTGAGGAGTCTTCATCTGCAGGTTGGAAACCCCAGCAGCGCTGCAGGTGAGGGCCCGCGGGCGTGCGCAGGGGGCAGAGGGGCACAGGTCGGGGAGCCGCGGCCACTTCTAAATGAGAACTGCACTTCCTTGTCTTGGAGCCTTCTCACAGATCTTACAAACCACGCTCACTGTAGGAAGGTTGAGTGATTTCAGAAAGCATAAAACACTAAGGTTCTCACTTCTCTCCTGGTAACGACCACCAAACTTGCGTGTCTGTCTGGGACGCACGCCGTTCACCGTGAAACGCCACTGAAGTGTGCTCGTGCCCATGGCTCCCACGGGAAAGCCAACTGGGAAACTTGAGGCAGGGGAAGGTATGAGGTGGGTTACGAGGAGTGAGGGTGGGTGTCAGGCGTGGCCTCCCCACCTCCAGGCCAGCTCGGAGAGAGGACAGAACCTGCCTTGTTCAGGGGCCAGGGGGCAGGGAGAACCCACCACTCCCCAGCTCTTGCCTTGCCAAGGGGCTAGTTACCAGAACAGGAGCCTGGATGCTCCCTTGCCCAGGACCCATGGGGAGGAGTCCCAGGGAGGCCCGCAGGGCGGCCTCTGTGCTGGGCAACCACCCTGTGGCTCCGTAAGTCACCCCGCCTTTTAGGAGGAGTTCACATCTCATCACAGCGCCAGAGGACTGGCTTCCGGAAGGTCTCCCCAGAACGGGCTCCCTGCTCACGGATCTGTCTGGCCAAGAAAGCGCCTTGTCTGAACTGGCTGGTTCTCCGACTCCAGGACACTAACACCATGCAGGGGAGCCTTGCAGCCTTCTGTCCCAACAAATGGGATTTTGAACTTACACTGATTTTCTCTTAATAACACTCAAATGTGTAAGACCCTGTTCTTGCCAACAAATTGCCACGCCCAGGAGTGGGGATGTCCCTGGCTCTTGCTTGCCGCCATGAAGGATGGGGATGGGGATGGGGTGCGGAGGGCAGTGAGAAGAAAAGGAAAGCAGACCAGAGGCCCAGGGAAAAATAAGCCAAGTTCAAGTCGAGGGCACCAGAGGATGGTGCCCAGCCTGTTGTGTCTGGCTCCTGCCCGGGGGACTGTCTTGTGCTCCGAATTTTTTTCAGGTCTGTTCTATCAGCATCTCACTGATTCACATGACTCACAATTCCACAGATAATAAGGTTCCCTTATACTTTATATAAAACTCTTTAACAACGTAAGGTTGGGTCAAAAAGGTGTTCTAAAATGTGAGTAGTTACCGCCGTCCTTTATTGCCCCCGACCGGCAGGCCCTCCTTGAAGAAGGAAGGCCGCCCCTCCTGCCTCGCGGCACGCGCTTCTCCTCCCACCAGCCCCCAGGACTGCACAAAGGACAGCCCAGCCGCTGCCCCAAGGGCCCCCGGCCCAACCCCTGCCATCCTCAGACCCTCACTCTGGGACAGCGCAGGGCTACGGGGCAAAGACAGTGGCAGACCCTCCACGCCGAGGGTCCTTTCCCAACCAGCGGAGCTGACGGACGCGGTGCCCTAACCCCAGACCACCATGTCAACCAAAACCAGCTTCCTCGCTTGTCAAAGGCCTCCCATTTCAGTCAACTGTAAATTCAGCACCGAGGTCGGATTCCTTCTGCCACAGACATGGGGCATTAAATGGCAGAAAGCTGCACAAAAGAGGGAAAGGCCTGGCCTCTCCCTGGTCCTAGGCTTGCCCCCTCGAATAACTCAAAAGCTCAGGCTCCCTCCCCCCAAGGTCACTGCAGTCATTCCCAGTGCAAACCGGCTCCCACCATCCCTACTTGAAACCCTTCCATGCCTGCCAACGGCAGTAACCACTGAGACCCCTCTCCCAAGCACCCACCACCCATCCAGCACTGGGCTGGGGGTCCCCAGAGCCTCACAGAAACCCAGTGAGACAGTGAGGAGCACCCCCAGGAAACAGGTGAGAGAGCCGGGCCCCACGATTTCTAGGAGGAGCTCCAACCCTCACGACCACCACCAGGCCCTCCTTGCTCCGGACCAGCTGCAGAGTCCGGAGCAGCAGTGTCAGTGGCTGCGTCACAGTGGGAGCCACAGGGTCCCACCACGAGCCCAGGAAGTGGCCAGTTGGGGGTCCGAAGGGAGTCTGCATGAACTCGATGCCCGGCCTGGCTTCTGGAAGCGCTGCCTGGCACCCCGCCCTGCGCTGCAGGCACCAGCACCCAGGTCAGCTTCCCAGAGTCCGAGCAGGACTGCCCGACACCCCCGCCTGTGCCAGTGCCCTCGGCCCCTCTCGGCTCTCTCCCCGCAAACCAGGCTCAGGCAGGGGCTCTCCCGCCACCACCCCGGGCTCTGCAGCCCGCCGTGCGCACACGTCTTGCTTAGCTTCCAGCAGACCTGACCGACTCAGAGGCCCCACGCAGGACAGGGCCCCTGTGCTGCGGGCTAGGCTCCTCATTGCCTGTTTGTCACTCAGCGGTGTTTCCAGAGCGGCGCCCGCAGCCAGATCAGATGAAGGTGCCCGCTGGACCCAGGCAGACGGCTATCTGCAGGCAGGGAACAGATGCGTGGTCACCCGAGAACAAGCCTGGCGGGCCATGGACTGCAGCCACAGGACATCCTCCGGGACATCTGGAATCCACATCACCAGCCTGCAGGAACAGATCCCCCCACACACACTGTCGGCGGGAAGACCGGCCCACACCAAGACGGCCACGCACAACCCGAACAGAAGGCAGCCGTCCCCACGACTCCCCTGGTCCAGGTGAACTGCCAGAGTCCCTATCTGACAAATTCCCGGAAGGGGGCCCGGGGACAAGCTGGCTTCACAGCCCCTCAGTTGGGCCACTTTTGATTCAGGAAGCTCAAAGGATTAACACAGAAATCAGAGGAGATGGCTTTAGTTTTCCAGGTGTCTGCCTGTCTGTGTGGCGCGGCTACTTGTCTGAGTTGGGAGTTCACACACCGTCCCCTCCGCCCAGCCCGAGCTTGGCCTCACACATGTCCAGCAGAGGGAGCCGCTGCGGAGGCCTGACCGTGGCCCCACCACAGACTCCCTGCCCCCAAGACACAGAGAGGACCCCACGCCTGGGCCTTGATAAACCCCTGAACCTGAGGCCAGGGCAAGGCAGCGTGGGCACAGGAGCCTAATTCTGTAGGGCGGGGGAGGGGCTGAGGACGGACTGAAGGACACACTCGGTGAACTTGCTAAAAAGAAAGCAGAGCAGACACCCCAGTTAGTGTGAAGAAGGCCGAGGAAAACAAATTCCCAGGATTCCAGCGTGTGCCCCTGTTGGCCTCGCGTCCTTCCCGACCATGAGTAAAATCCCGAACCAAAGGGCAGCCCTGTGGGAAGTGAGGAGCCCACACCAGCGATGAGGAAAGAGGCAGGCTGCGCAGGGCCCCACCCAGGAGGCACCTCCCGGGGGCGGTCCCCAGGGCCTGTGACCTCTGCCCCGATGCCCAAGGGGCCAGGGGCCAGGCCCCAGGCTCAGGGCCCTACGGACACTCTGACTCAACCCCTCGATGGACACGCAGAGCCACCAGGACGCTCACCTGTGGACCGTGGCCACGGCACACTGCACGGGCAGCGTGCAGGGCAACATCACATAGGTCAGGAGCTTCGCCGGCAGGGAGCTGCAGACCCGACTCATGTAGCCACCTCGGGTTTTAACCGCCTCGCTCAGTGCTGAAAGGCACAGTTTGGGAGCCCGTCTGTCACCAGTGTAAGAGCCAAACCACCTCGCCAGGCGGTGCTTGGGGTGTCCACCCAGCACACAAGTTCTGGCAGCCGAAGAATCGGAAGCCCTGGCAAATGTGGGACCGCCCTGGGACCGCCACAGACACAGGGCTCCCAGGAGCGGCTCTCTTTCCAGGGGCAGCTACGCCAGGAGGAGACCGCCGACTGCTCCGACAGCCCACCGGCCACCTGCAGCCGAATTCCATCTCCTCCGCCTGGACCCCCCAGGCTTCCACTTCCCTTCCGAGGTGACCTCATGACACCTCACGTCAGAGAGGCCGGGCAGCTGCGGCTCACAGCAGCCCCTAGGGCCAGGGTGCCTCCGCAGCTAGGAAGCCATCCCGGTCGTCTCTGAACCTCTCCGAAAGCCCATGGGAAGCTGCTCTGTGCACTCACGTGTCCTCTGACCTCTGACCCCAGGCTCAAACGGACGTTCATTCCAAACTATCAGTTTGGGGGAGGGGGTAGTCAGGAGAGGCTCTTCGAGAAAGGAGACTTTGAGATGGGTACATGGGCAGAGAACGGGGTTCTGAAAGAAGGGGCCCACCCTTGGGGCCCCCGAAATCCAGTGTGCCCGGACCCCAGGCACTGAGAGCATGCCCAGTCCACTCAAAACGGGCTCAGCTGGAGTCTGTTCTGTTCTGGCCATGCCCACGTGGGAAGGGAGACTGGGCAAGGTGCCTGGGTGCTGGGCGGCCGGGCCCCAGGGTGGACCACCTTCTTCCCTAACCTGCAGGAGAGAAGCCCATTCTGCCTCCCAGCGACAGAGGACACCCCCCCCCTGCCCCCCAGAGGCGGCACCTGTGATGAGCTTGGGCGACACTGTCTGCAGGACACTCTCGTCCCAGGGCAGGTGGTCCCACAGCTCCTCTCCCTCCAGCCTCGTCCACCTGCTGGCGCCCTCCCGGGGGGTCTGCAGGCTTGTGGTTTCCCGGGGAAACTTGAGGGCCTCCAGTTCTTCTGAGGACAAACTCGGGCACGGAGGCGGGGACCTATCACAGAAGCCTGCCAGGGGCACAGAAGACAAACTGTCAGGCGACTTTGAGCAGCCGGGGTCATTCGTCACTCACCCGCCCACCCACCAAATGACAGAGAAGGCCAGTGGCCACCAGGAGCCGCAGGCCTGGCATCAGCTCCGTGCCAGGTGGGGATGGATGAGGGCGGGCTGTCCTGACAGGGAGAAAGAAGCGTGGGGCTTCGAAGCCACAGCCACGTGAGTTGGGGTCCTGCCTGACCCCTGACTCGCCGCGTGGGCTCCACAGCCGCATGTGGCCTTGTGAAATGCAAAGACGGGGACTGAACTGAGTTACGGTGCCTGGCTTCACACCAACGAGCAGGCCTGTGTCCCCCTGGGTGGGACCTTCGGCCAGGCCTCGCAGCAGCCACTCGGCGACTGCCACTGTCGTCCTCTGCACTTCTCGGCTGAGGAAGCAGAAGCACAGAGTTAAGAGGTTCGTTCACCAGAAGCCACAGCCAGCCTGTGGCAGAGCGGGATTTGAATGCAGGCCCAGGGCTTCCATCACACGACACTTACAACAGCTCTAGGCAAGGGAGTTTGGGTGGGCACTGTCCCAGGTGTCGGGACTCCGGCCCCCGGACTGGGAACGCGGAGAGGCGGGCAGAGGCCCACGGCTGCCCGGCCTCACCCGCCGCTTCCAGCTTCAGGCTGCGAAGACCAGGGCCTGCTGCTCCCAGACGCCTGTGCGGGCTCCCCAGTTACACCTCCCTTTGTGCTCCCCTCTAGGTCTTTACGGGGCTTCTCAGACACAGTGCTCATCTGCAGGGCTCCACTGTGCCTCAGGTACAGAACTGTCCCCGGACGGACGGTGGCAGCTGCCACACCCTCACATGTCCTCTCCAGGACCCCGGGCAAGCCAGCCTGGCTGAGGACCACACTTGAGTCACCGAGGAGGAACCTGAGTCCACCCCCGCAGAGCCCACCAGCATCACCCATACCCAGGCTGCCCCCAGATTTCACCGCCCCACACAGCTCTCCAGAACCTGGGGCCCTGACAGCAGCCACCTCCTGTCCTGGCACAACCGCCCAAAAAGCCCCTGGGGCACGGCACACCCCCGGGTTCCGAAGCCCGCTCCGGCTTCCTAGCAAACCTCCTCCCTCCTGCAGGCCCTGAACCTGTGGGTAGAGCTCCATCTTCCCTGGCCACGCCCCCAAAGCCAAAAAGCCAGGGCTTCATCCTGAAGTCTTCCTCTCCCCAAACCTCTGGTTCACTGTCTCCAAGTCCTGTTCCCTCAGGCTCCTTCCCCGCCCCTTGGCCAAGCCCCCCGCAGCATGCTGGTCCAGCCCCCTCCGCACTGCAGCCGCAGGCCCCTGCTGCCCCCACCTCCCCGGTCCTACGGTGGCAGCCTGCCATGGCTCCAACCGCTGTAATGCAGAGCCTCCGAGGGCCACGGGGCCGGCGTCGCCCCTCCCTTCTGTCCATCTCTCAGCCCCTCCAGTGACACAGGACTGCTGCCCATCCCCCTACTCATCCACAGTGTCGACGTGGAGTCACACCCTCCTGGAAGCCTTGCTTTCCCCCTCACCTGGCAGGTCCCTCCCGAGCGTCCCTACGGCATCTGGCATCTCCCTGTCCTGGCCTGCTCCCTGGCAGCCTCCTTCCTCGTACAGGCCTGCGCTCCTGACCACAGGCTGGGAGCTCCAGGGGCCGAGGCTACAGCTGACTGTTCGCTGCAGTGGCCCCAGCACACAGTGTCCCTGGCACACCCACTGGGTGCACAATAAGCATTTTCCAAATAGGTAACACGTCTGTGTCCTTTTACCCAGTGTCCTAGGTCTTGGCCAAACACTGACCAAGAGGACCAACACGGGAGCCCACTGTCGGCACTGAAGAGAAACAGCTCCAAACACACCAGACACCCGGTTCCACTTGGGCGTCTCCAGAGCTCGGCCCCTGAAGCCCGGACACACCAGGGTGGCTCAAGGCGGCAGCTTGTCCCAGAAAGGGCAGTGCACCAGTGGGCATCACCCACACCTGGCTGCAGACAACTCTCCTCCCTGCTCTTCCTGGGGCCCAGCCCCAGAAACCCCGTTTGAAGCCCTGGTGAAACCCAGGCCAACTGCCTCCAGATGGGTGACGGGGAAGAAGGACAGCGCCCTGGAGCTGTGACACCCCACGTTCGAACCCCAGCTCTGGCCCTGGCTCCCCTCTCTGAGCCTATCCCCTGGTGTGTGAAGTGGGGCAGCTGAGTGGGCTAGCACAACAGGCGGCGGAGGCCGGAGTGGCCCTCTCGGGGTCCCCACGGCTGCTGACAGAGGCCGCTGCATGGGCTCGTCTGTTCCCTGCCCATACGCACCGTTTTTTTCCAAGAACCTGGCCGCGTCCAAGTACCCTTGCAGGCAGATCTCCCCCAGCACCTGTAAGCCAAGCCTCAGGTTAACCGCAGGGAGTTACAGGTTAGCCAGAAGGTTAACCAGAACATTAACCTGTAACTCAGCGCACTTCAGTGAACTGAAGACCCCCCAAACTCTGCAGCCGCAGTGAGAGGCCGGACAAGGGGCCGCACTCCAGGTGACAGCACTCCCCCTTTCCTGCGGGACTCGGCCCAAACCCCACCCCGCCTTGGAGCCGGTGCTGGCACCCCAGCATGCCAGGGGCCCACTAAGTTTCCCGGAACAGTGACAGCTCCCTCCTCCACTCGCCTGCGCGCACACCACCGACCGGCCGTGGCGCAGCCTCGCCCAGCAGGCGCGCGCACACCCTGTGCCCCTTCGTCCCTGAGATCACCACCGAGTGCCCGCGGCCCACACATCTCCTCACTGATGGGAGGCTCAGGTGTACAGAGCGACCGGCACACGCCAACACAGTGCGGTTCATGACCACGTCCACAAAGAAGAATCACCTGGGTAACGCCAACACCCCTGCGGACCCGGCTGCACCCAGCGCCCCTTCGGCCCCAGGGTCCGTGGGAACTGGTTCCAGGACCCCTCGTGCCTGTGCAGCCTCTTCCATAAAACGGTGTAGGGTTTGCACAGGACCGGTATTGGCATGTAGGTTACTGGGCTCACCACTTTATTCCCAGGTATTCGGCACAGGGCTCACTCAGCAACGGGTGAGTTCAAATTTTGCATTTTGGGTCTTTCTGAGATTTTTTTTTTTTTTTTTGAGAGGGAGAAAGAGAGGGAGAGAAACATCCATAGCTTGCCTCTCGTATTCGCCCCGACCAGGGACTAAACTTGCAGCCCAGGCACATGATGTCTTCTAACAGGGAATCGAACCCGCAGCCTTTCAGTTTGCAGGGCGACACCCACCCAACTGGTCAGGGCAGGGATTTTAAAAAGTATATTTTTGGGCCCTGGCTGATGTGGCTCCGTGTACTGAACACCAGCCTGGGAACCAAAGGGTCGCTGGTTCGATTCCCAGTCAAGGCTCACTCCTGGGTTGCAGGCCAGGCCATGCTCCCAAGTGGGGGGCGTGTGAGGGGCAACCTCACACCTGCTATTTCTCTCCCTCTGCTTCTCCGTCCTTTTCCCTCTCTCTAAAAATAAGTAAATAAAATATTTTTAAAGTAAGTAAATAAAAAATATTTTTGCTGTGTGCTTGGTTGAACCCGTGGATGCTTGGATCCGCAGGTGCCAAAGCTACGGATGGGGAGGGCTGACCCCACGTAAACCGCAGCCCCTGGAAGTGTCCCCCGGGGATTCCGATGACCCGAGGCGGTCAGGGGTGGCCTTCTGGGACCGGAGATTCTTGTCTGAGTCCCTGTCCAGTGAGGGTTCTGCTTTTGTGTGCTAGCACCGAGAACCAGACAGGTGGGTCTCCAGGCAGACGGGGGCAAAGAGCGGCACCCCCAGAACGCACAGCCCCACACGTGCCTTGACATCGGGAGGGATCAGCATTTGGCAAACCAGCTGGCAGTTCCGAAAGCAGAAATGTACATTGAGCCTTGACATCTCCATGTGGAAGAAGTTCGTGGACTTGGCCTTGGGGCAGATGTCAAACTCCCCGTAGAAGGGACACACCGTGATGGTTGTCTTGGTATCAAAGAAGGGGATGCTGTTAGTGAACCCTCCATCTACATATCGCTGTTAAGGGAGGAAAAAAAGAACATCTGGTCAGAAGCACGCGGCCAGGGTTTCCTGCGTTTGAGGTTATGGGCAGAGGCCTCTGGGCACCACAGGTCCAGGGAGGAGGACCAGGCTCGGGAGGCTGGGGAGCCCTGTTCACCGCTGGAAAGACTGCGAACCCGGCCAGAAGGCAGATGGAGGCTGAACTCCGGCCCACGGCATTCTGGCCGAGTTCTGAGCCCAGGCAGGGCTGTGCCCATGCATTTGCACAAAGAAGCCATACAGACCAGGTCACAGCGTGCACTAGGGACACTGTGAGGTAGACCCTGTCCCAGAGTGGACAAAAGGGGTCCCCTCCAGGCCCCCTGCTGCTGGGGACATCTTAGACAAGACAACCCATGAGCTCTTCTCTCCCCACACTGTGAAGATGGGAGCCAAGGCCATGAGGAGTCGGGACCAAAATGAAACCGTGAAGCTGGGAGCTGATGGCCCTCAGAAAACAGCCCCTCGCCTCAGGACAGGTGGCCCCAGGCTCGGTTAACTGTGAACACCCTCTTCCGGCATGCACTCCTGCCAACCGCCTTCAGCCAGGCAAGCCGGTTTCGGTGCGACGCGGACAGTCTGCGCCTAGCAAACCAGCACCAGGAGCACTCTCCCAGTGCCACAACCTCAACCCTCCCCAGCCGTGGCCAGAGGCCCCGGGGTGGGGAGACCGAGTCATCCTGGTTGGTAACTGCTGCCCTAAGGAGGCTGCTGGCTCGCCCTGCCTGGGCCAGCGTGCAGCCCGGCAGGCAGAACAACTCTGCCCGCGCAGGGCTCAGAACAGCCTCGAGTGTTTGCACATTTGTTGAATGGAACCAAACGGTAGTAGCCCTGGCATCAGCTTCTGCCTCGAGCCATGAGCAGAAAAGGTCAGGCCCAGAGAGGATAGAAACTGCCAACCTCTAAGGATAAAGCTCCATCTTGAGCAAGCTGCCGATTCTTAACAGTCTTACACTTGAACTAGGCCACTGGGCACCCATCCTCAGCACTCCTCTGAAGGTTAAGTGAGCCGGCTTAGCTTACAAATTGCCAGATAATGGATTCTCAGTGAACTGGTTCTCCTGGAGGCGCTGGGGGCGCTGAGGGTGCAGAGGGAGGCAGCTATAGCCCCCCTCTGTCTGGGGGCTGAGTAGCAGAAGGCTCCGCATTTGGGGTACGAGGGTGCTCCGACCCAGGTGAGATGCAGACTCACCACGCCTCTGAAGGAGGGAGGGATGAAGCCGCAGGCAATGGGGATGAAGCAGGAACACAGCACAGCCTGTGGAGACAAAGGGAGTGAAACCACAGGCCAAAGCGGCCTGCCCCTCACTGCCCTAGGCCCTGGCCAGCCTTCTCTGGACAAGCGAGCCAGGCAGGAGCCCCAAGCACTCTGCACCCCGAGAGCAGGCCTCGAGAGCAGGCAGTCAGCACAGGGGCTGAGTGAGCAGCGCGCTGACCGCACTGTCTCATTTCACATTTCAGACTGAAGCGTAAACGCCTGGATGATACCATGTGAACATTGGCCTCCTGTCCCTGCTCCCCACGAGTCAAAAAGGGCGATCGAAGATGGGACCGAGAGCGGTTGACTCACTGACCGGAGGGGACAATTCTAATGAGCTCCCAGGAGATGCCGATGCGGGGCCAGGACCACACTCCGGGCAGCACCGGGCCAAACAGCATGAAGCAGGTTAGGACACGGACTCACGAGCACCTGGACTCCTGGGGGAGCAGGCAGGTGCTGGCTATTGAGGAAAAGCTGCCTTCAGGAAGGCTCAGTGGAAGGTGACAGTGGCTGTGAGGTCCTGTTCGCTGTGTGGCACAGGCCGCCCCCCAGACAGACATGTGTGGAGTGAGACACTGTCCACCAACTCCCCTAAGACGCATCGGCCAAATTAAATGGCATTTTGGTATCGTAAACAATCTCCTCTGTGCTCTGAGGCACATAAGATGGGTCCCCACCTCTCGCGGCTGCACTCAAGGTGTTCCCACTAAGGAACACGCATCGTTTGGAGGGACACCGTGCGACGGGGTCTGTGGAAGAGGTGGCTGCGAGCCAGTCTGGAAGGCTGGGGAGGCACTGAGACCGTCCTGGGGCCCACCTGGCTCACACACGCCGCAAACCAGACCCCCGGTGGCACCCGAGTTACGGTGCTTCTGCATCGCAAGGAACAGGGCAGGTGGCCTGTGACGGATGGCCTCCTCCATGTGACTTCCAAGGTCAGATGGCCCTTACTACTCAACAATGCCCAGAGAGGTCCGGTGCTCACATCCACGACTTCGTCCTTGGACTGAAAGTCGGACACCACGACGTTTTCCCAGTCGGACACACGGGTGAGCGAGAGGCCGACTCTGCCCGAGACCAGCTGATGGACGTTGGCCGGGAGGTGCCGGTGCAGGGCCTCCTTGAAGTACTCGTGCATGTTGAAGGACGGGTGCAGGAGGCCGAGGCTCTGGCTTCGGACCTTCCGGACAAGGTCTGTGAACACCTGCACGACCTGGGCTGTGGGGCGGAGAGAAACACACAGAGGGACGTGCCACCCAGGAGTCAGGACTGATGTGTGGCTGGACCAGAAACCCACAACACGGGAGCATTCGCACATGCCTACGGAGCCCTGATGACGGGGCTTCTCCAGATGGAGATGCACAGAAGAAACACAGAATTTCAAAGGCTTAGCAAAAAAAAAGGTAAAAGATATCAATACTGATTAGATGGGAAAATGATACTGTTTGGACTATACTGAGATCAACAAAATTAACTTCACTCCTGTCTTTTAAGTACTTTTTTGCATCCTACTAACAGGGAATGTAAAATGACATCTGTGGCTTGCACCATATTCCTATTGGCTGGCCTGCCCTGGGCCCCGGCTTCAGGAAGGCGCCTCCGGAGGCCCAGGGGGGCTCCCCTCACCCCAGTGCCTCACGAAGCCAGACCTAGGGAGTCCGAGGCAAGGCGGGCCTGGGGCTGTGGGGAGCGGAGAACACCGCTGGCCGGCACAGGTGCCAGAACCCTGCCTCCACCTCTCACTGGCCGAGTGGCCCCAGTAGGTCACTTCACTGCCTCTTGGTCTTGGACTGTGCGTTGTGAATGTGGGACAGCATGGTTAGATTCACTACACCCCGTAAGGTGCTCCATTCAGAGAAGGCACCAAATAAGTAATTACACTTAACCTTTAACCTCTCCCGCCAGAATCATCACAATGTCTGGCGGGCACAGGGCATATTCACTCTCCCTTGGACCCACTCCCTGGCCTGGCCCCCTCTGGCTGGCCAGTGCTGCCCTGGTATGTAGGACTACCCGTCTCAGCGCAAGGCCTACCCAGTCATGATTCCTGGGACGCACAAGGCCAGACACAGGCCAGGCTGCCCCAACCTGCCAAAGAGCGCATCCAAGCCATCCCTATATGCGCTGCCCCGCCGAGCCCGGGCAGCGGGGGCAAATGTGCACAGAGCTGGCAACTCTGCCAGCTCTCCTTGCAGGTCGGCCCTGGCTGAGATGCACTCTTGGAAATTCTACCCACTTGGACCACCCCTGGTGGGGGGAAGGCCCCTTGGAGGTCCCTACATGAGGCAGGAGGTTGGGGAAGGAATCTGGGGGACAACTCCAGCCAAAACCCCCAGACCCACTTTCCAAGGACTTGGTGGCCCCCGGGCCTCCCTCCAGGCTGCAGGGCAGGGCTCCTGTTCTCTGCTGTCAAGAAGCCCTGCCCTGGAGTCAGCATGCCAACTGTCCTGGGGTCTGTGCACCTGAAGCTGGTCAAACGTCTGACTTTGTGGGTGTCCACAGGTCACCTTGGAACACAAGGGCTGGCCATGCGGCCAACTGAGTCCTTCCTGAGGTCACATTCCTGCCCTTTGCTCCTCTGCCCCCTGGACCCGGAAAGCCGTCAGGGTGGCCTTGCTGCTGACCCCACTTCCCAGTCAGCCCGGGGTTCACTCCATCAGCAGCAGTGTGCCTGCAGGCAGGAGACTGCTTGCTGGGCACCAGGAGCAAAGGCGGGCCCTGCTGGCCATGTGGGGTACAGCAGCCCGGCAGAGTGAAGAGCACATTGTTCAGGAGCCGGGATAAATGGGCTGAAAAGGTGCGTTATGTTCTCCTCTGGGGACCACTGGGAGCCAACAGCTCTGCTGCTCCCGCTGCACCCCCTGATTCAGATCCCCAGGCCACGGACTCTGCACTCTAGTAGTCGAGACCAGCTGGGCACCCGGCTGCGCCCCCCCCCCAGGTCCCTTCCTCCCACTGGCACCCACCCATACAGACAGCCGTTAATGAGAACAAGACACAAATGAGCCTGGGTCTCATTTCCAGGGGCACTGCGTGGGGTGTGGAGGAGGTAAGGGCATGTCCAGGGATCCACTCCAGCCCCCAGGAAGGGTCTGAGACACTAGAAAAGGAGCAGAGATAACTTTCCTACCAGCCTCAATACACACAACCCCGCCCCGCCCCCAATCGCTGGAATCCTAACAAGTCGGCTCCAGAGGGGCTCAGGAGGACTCGGAAGAGTCGCCCTCTGACGGAGACGCATCCAATCCCCCGGGGGATGGGCGGAAGCAAGGGCGCCCAGAGAGGATAGGGGAGATGGTGGTAGTGTCTCTAGTCCCTAAGTCCCCAAAGGAAAGAAGGCGCCCACCCTGGGGCACAGGCCAAAGCCCCCACCCTGGTCTATCCAGAGCAAACCGGCCCTTCCTATCCGCGGCTCAGATCGCAAAGCGCCTCTCAGCGCATCTCGAGCGGGTGGCGGGGACCGCTGGGTCCAGCTCCACCCTTCCCTCTCCCCTCTCGCCATTGCTCCGGGATGTCCTAGCTGTCAATCCCGGGGAAAGGGGTCTTCCTTCAAGCCCGGGAAGCTAGAGCGGGGTTGGGGTGGGAAGTTGCTCAGGATTCCCACGCTCAGAGGAGATGCCTCCCATGCTCGCCTCGCTCCCTGGCCGGACGACCGCGCCCACCCGTTCCAGGCGAGAGAACGCAGTAGAAAAGGTATCTGCCTACGGAGGCCCCCGAGATGTACCCTGCAGGATCCGTGTCCAAACTCAGATCCACCGGACGCCCCTCAACCCGTAAGAGTTGCCGTCAACCCAGGCCTGGGGACTCCCCCTCCCGGCAAGCAGGGGGTCCCAGACGTACCAACCGGGACACCCGCGAGGAAAGAAACGCAGTGCAGCGACCCGGCTGAAGCACCGAAAAACATGCGCGCGTTTCGGAGGAGGTGCGGGGCGCGGTCGGTCAGGCACTGGGTCGCCCCGAGGTGGTAAAAGCCCAGGAAGCCGCAGCCCCCGAAGGACAGGCTCCAGCTCTGCTTGGGGTCGTACATAGCGGCGTCGCGTTCGGGGTGCGGGGTTGGCGTCCCGGCTGCGGGGTTTGGAGCTAAGGGTCCGAGTCCGTGGTATACAGCCGCTTAACCCAACGCCCGCACCTCTGCACGGCCGAACGCGCTCTACCGGAGGCCGGGGCGGAGCAGCTCCTGAGTTCCCTGCGTGACGTCAGCCCTGCAGCCCCGCCCCCTCAGTCAGTGCAAAAGAGCGCGCAGGTGGCCTAATGGGGTCAGAATGCCCACCTGTCCCTGCTCCTCCGGAGCTCTGGGGCGGGGGCGGGGGCGAGGCGGGGGCGGGGGCGGGCTTGCCCGAGGGGGGAGGTCTAAGGTGCGGAGAGTTCTCTGTAGCTCTAAAGGACCCAGCTGTCCCGGAGACAGACGGCTCCCCTTTTCCGTCCCTTAACTTAGGGAGAAAGTAGAAGTTCAGTTGCCCACTTAGGTCCTCGGTATTTTATTTTTTATCCTCACCCGAAAACTCTTTTTTTCTTTTCTTTGAGAGTGAGGCCAGTTCTGTCTGGTGTGGCTCAGGGGATTAAGTGCTGGTCAGTAAACCACAGGGTTGCTGGTTCAATTCTCAATTAGGGCACACGCCTGGGTTTCCAACCAGATCCCCAGCTGGGCGTATGCAAGAGGCAACCTACCAATGTTTCTCTCACACTTTCTCCCTCTCTTTCTCTTTCCCTTCCCCTCTCTAAAAAAAAATATATTTTTAAAAGTTTAAAAGAGAGAGGGGGGAGAGAGAGAAACAAGACCAAACAACTGGGGCAATTTCACAAAGTTTCTCCTCCCTAACCAAGAAGACTTAGGAGCAAATGATGTACACATTCCAGACCATCCCGGGGCATTCCTCTCCAGGAAAGTTCTTTAAAAGTAAAACTACCCAGAAAATAATCCCTGACCCCTCTATTTGCACATTTTGATGAATCAACGTATTGAAGGGCGCACCTGAATATGTTAAGATCCTCCCAACACCTCCCTTAAATTCCAGTGCCAAAAAAAGATTCAAAGCTTCAAGACAATCCGAGCTGCACTCTCGCTGGAACACACTCATGCCTTGTGTCTCTGCTCTTTGTCTCCTAAACTCCTAGGGTCCCCACGAAACTGGCAACCAGGCAGCCGCTCATCCCAGGCTCACCCCCTGAACCTGTCTCCAAGGCCCCCTTTTTCTCTGACTTCCCAGTAAGCTCACTTTTTTTTTTTTTTTACTGTGACTTCTAGTTCTTAGAAAGCTGGAGCAGCCCTGCCTAGGCTCTCTCCTATTGCTTCTTCTACCCTAAATCCTTCCTTTGTTTGGCTGTCCCAGCTTTGATGAATGTGCCCTCCAAAGTCCCCTGGACTTGTGCTGTGAAATCTTTCCTGCACAAAGTCAAGAACTCACGCACTGTGGGTGGGCCCAAGGCAGACCCTCTCTGGCCCAGACCCCATCTGGTAACACTCCCACTGGCAGTGCTAGGAGAGCACGGGCTTGGGTGAACTTGAGGGTCAGACAAGCCATGGAGAGGACAGACAGACACCCCTGGTGGCATGGCAGAGGCCATGTTGCCGGCAGCGATCAGCATGGTCCCACCTGCCGGCAGTGGTGGGCTCTCTCCTGCCCCGAGGGGCCTTCCTGGTGTTTATTAAAGGGATACATGGATGAGTGGGTACGTGAGTGAAGGCTAAAGTGATATCCTTTCCCCATGTCAGGCTAAGCATGGAAGCTCCTTCTGATCTAACCATCTTCACAGCCCTGCACATTTTCTTAGCTCACCACGCCTGCCGTTCTTCAGTGCCTTAGGTGCCATCTTAGATGGGCTGCTCCAGAAGCCGACTGGCCCAGAGACTAGGACTTAGTGCCAAGTGGCCCCAGGAGGCACCAGAGGGCGTAGGGAAATGAGAAGGGAAGCGGTGTCTTAGTTGGGAGTGGTGACTACTGTGGGTAGGTGGGGTTCAGTCCTGTTGGGGTTTTCCAGGAGAAACATCGTGCCCTGGGGTCGGTGGGGGGGGGGAGGAACTGGGGTGTCAGTTCTCCTATGCTCGTCTCTGTGAGAGCCGCCCACTCAGCACTGCAGGAGCTGGCTGAACCCAGAGCGGAGCTTGCAGCAGGAAGGTGTCCTTGGGCAGGGAGGGCCGGAGTGATGGCTGGGGCACCACCAGTGGGCAAGCCTTGGGGCTTGGGAGTGGGGGGCAGGAGTCAGACACTTATGAAAGCTATGGCCCCCTGGGGTGGTGGGGGAAGTGCTGGGGCTGAAGAGAAGGCACTCCAAGAACTTTTTATGCCCCACACCTTGAAATTCAATTTCAAAAATTGAAACAGTTTAGGATGTACCCAAGAGATTGAATTTTGTGTTTCAAAATTGTGGGTTGGTTTGTAGATAGGCATCATTTGAGTTCAGAAAATTCTTGTACTTATTTAAAGTGGCCCGGAGGCTTTTGTAATGAAGGCAACAGGCTGTCCTTGAAGACACTGTGACCAGAGCCTCAGAGAAAGGAGGGGACAAAAGCAGCGTTAGGAACACACACCCAACTGAAAAAAGATCAAAGGGGGACCCATGCCAGGTGCAAACCCAGAGCTACTCCCCGTGGCACCGGATGAGATGGCACCTCAGAGGGAGGAGGACCTTCAGCAGCAATGGGGCACAGCTGAGCAGAGTGGGGGTGGGGGGGGGCTTTCTGGAAGGAAAGGCCACGTTGGAAACAGCAGTGCTCAGGCTGACCCAGGAGGCAGGGCACGGCTGGGAAGCCCTCAGTCATCCAAGACTGCGGGACGGAAGAGGCTGCTCTGGTAGAAGGAGCATGGGACCAGGCCCCTGAGACAGAACTTCTGGCTGGACTCCCTAGGAACAGCCCCGTCAACCAGCGATCATTGGTGCCCTGTCAGTGCCAACAGGTATCCCCATTTTAGGGTGAAGAAGGACACTATTTGGTGAAAAACAGCTCATTGTGACACAGCATGGCTGTAGGGCAGCCCTGGTGCCAGGCCCCTCTCAGGCTGGGCAGCTCTGCTCTGTGCCGGTCTGCTCCAGACATTTTTGGTGTCTCAGCTCCAGCTGGGCGAATGCATTTTGGGGCAGAACAGGAAAATGCAGAGCCTGAGGGAGCTGACTCCCATGGACAGCAGTCCCTGCCCTCAATCCCTGATTGGTGCAACCTTATGCAAATGAGGACACCAACTCCTCAACGGTTGGCCCCAAAGGCGCTGTTCTGATTGGTCAGAAAAGAGCCACTCTGATTGGTCGGGGAATATGGTGGGATATAACTGAGTGGCTTCAACTGAATGAAGAAAGTCTCGGTGCTATTGGTTGAAACAGAATTCCGGAAACTTCTTTGTAAGGGCTGGCTCAATGGCAGGAACGTGGTGCAGGCAGGCAGTTCAGCTCAGGCTTCTTGTAAATGGCAGAGCTGGGATGGAAGCACATCTGTCAGTGTGCAGAGTTCATGCTTGCTGCCTTGCAACAGAGCCCTGAAGGCAAGCGGGGCAGGGCCGCTCGGGCTGGGGGAGGGGGCCCAAGCCATCCAGAGCCCTAGCACAGTGCTTTCGGGTAGGCCTTCCAAAGGACACATAGCCGCGGGGGTGGGAGGTGGGGACAAGGTACTCACCCCCCTGGGCCCCAGGGTGAAATGCAGAAAATCCTAGCACCTGGCCTCCTAGAGTTGTTCCGTGGATTACATGAGTTCATAGTTCCAAAGTAAGGAGAACAGCTTATTGACCAATAAAGAGATGAATGGGGCTGGAGGGAGAGTCAGGTTTTGAGGCCAAGGGACAGTGAACGAGGACAGAAAGAGGGATCCTGGGCCAGCCACGGCCTGTTACCCAGACCTTCCCACTCAGTTTTGCAATAACCCTAGTGGGTGAGACACTGTTTCCACTTCACAGACGAGGACACCAGGCAAAGGAGGCCAAGGGTCTTGCCCCTGACCCAGCAGGTGATAATGGAGAGCTGGAATTCACGCTCTGAGGCTGGCGACCTCCTTGCGCTCCCACAGAAGGAGGCTCCCTGCTTCTTGCCCCTGGGTACACGAAAACAAGGGCAGCGCTTCCCCTCCCGCTCCTTCTCCTGTGGCCAAGGGCGCCAGGGCTCTGAGCTCCATCCTCCCACCCTTCCCTCTCAGTCCAATGCCTGCCTTTCCAGACTATTTTCTGCACCCACCACCCCCACCCTGGCTTGGCCTCCTCAGCCATAGCAGACCACCGGGGAAGGGGCCACCCCACCCGCAAACTTTGAGGCCACACAGACAGAAGTCACTCATTTTGTACAGTAGCCGTTCTCACTTCAGGAGGCAAAGAGCAGTTTTGACAAGGTGTTTGGGTTCTGCGAAATGTCAGCATCAGGGGGGCTGGGTGAAGGGCCGACGAGAATTCTTTCTTTGCCACTTTTTGTTAAATCTGAAATTATTCCACAATAAAAAAAATTCATGGAAAAAAGAAAAAAGGAAGAGTGCAGCGGGAAGGTGGAGGAAGGGAGGAAAAGCATTTGGCTGCCGGGGAAGGACAGTCAGGGGTTTAGTGCCCAGGGGTTTTTGCCATCGTCTATTTGCAATGTTCCTGTTTGGACCTCTGCCGGCCACTGCAGCCCAAGGTGAGTCACGACCAAGAGAGGAGAGAGAGCCCAGCTGGAGGTCTCAGGGCCCAGCGTGAGGCCCTGGGGGGACCTGGGCTGAGCACCCCCCAAGTGCTGAAGGACCGGCAGGCAGGTCCCACGCAGCTCAGACCCCAAGTTAGGGAGTTCAGGGCAGGTAGTCTGTCTTCTGGAGGAGAGAGGGGGAGGGAGCACTGACAAGCACTGAAGTACCTAGACCAGGGCCCCCCCCCCGCCACCTGAGGCCCCCCACCGGGCCTACCGTTTAAACCCCCCCTCACCTAAGGCACTTAGGCAGCCCTGGGTAACTGTGAGTGAACCTCTGTGTCAGTGGGCTTTAAAAACTTAAAAAAAAAAACAAAACTAAAGGCAGAAATGAGACTCTGGATTGACCTGGACACTACTCCCCACCACTCTCCGCCACAAAAAGTCTGTAATGCA